GTTGGTCTTCATGTGCTGCGTCTTGGAGGGGCTCAGGGAGACCCCGCGGGCACGGCACCTCGTCAAAAACTTCCGGACTCGGGCGACGTGTTCTTCTTGCGTCTTGCTGAATATGATGACGTCGTCCACGACACGTTGGATGCCATCCACGTCCCCGAAGCACTCGTCCATGCGCCGATTGTAATGCTCGCTAATTGACGAGACGCCATAAGAGGCACACAGATAGCGGTAGCGCCCGAGTGGTGTAATAAACGTCATTAGGTTTCGGCTGTCTTCGTCTAGAGGGCACTGGTGGTACCCTTTGGTGGCGTCGAACTCGCTAAACCATTTAGCGTCCGACGCTGTGATGGATGCGACATACTCAGCGCGCGTGTTGGATTGGTACAGCTCCCGCCTCACGGACCTATTCAGCTTTGAAAGGTCTACACACAGTCGAATGCCCATGCCGTCCTTCTTAGGGGCCACTACGATGGGCGCGCACCACTCAGTTGGCTCCGTGACGGACTCGATGATGCCGTCACGCTCGAGTTTTTCGAGCTCGTGGCGCAGGGGCTCTCTCAGAGCTATCGGCACCCTGCGTGGCGAGCGCACGGCGAAGGGGGTGGCGTCTTCTCGCAGATGGATTTGGTACTCTTCTCCTGACATGGTTCGTACTTTGCCGTCCAGCACGTCAGAAAACTCGTGAAGTGGCGCTGCATTCTCGGTCACGTCGGAAGAGATGTGATCGTGAGGCAGCTCTGAGGCGCTTGGGGGCGCTGCGTGCTGTACGGGGACTGTAGAGGGCCGCACCGGTCAGGCGGTGTGGTCCGCTGAGGACGGGCGGGCCGGCCCGTCTCCGTCGTCGGAGGTCAGCCGTCCGACGGTCCCTCCCCCGGCCGGGCGCTCGCGGCGTCCCGTCTCGTCTCCGGTTTCGGAAGGGGAGGGCTTGCTGCGGCGCGGCGCGCGCGTCTCACCCGCGTCTGGGTTGGGCGGCGGCGGCTGACTAGCGGCTGCGCCGGGCGGTCCGGCACCCCGACTGACTGCATTTATCCGCCGTGGGCAATTGGCCGGTACAATACGAAGACAGACGGCAGTGCGCCGCGAGAGGAGGAGTCGTGGCACTCCTGAGATGATATGCACCGTGTCAGACACCGTTACGTCACCCAGGGTGATTCGGACGGGCAGACTCCCGCGCGAGCGCGCCACGCGTCCGTCCACAGCGCGGGGATGGGTCGACGGCGGCTGAAGATTCTCGTCGTCCTCGTCAATGAGTTCGGCAAAGTCTAACCCAGCGACTGACACGTCGGCTCCGGTGTCCGGAACCGCCATCATCTTGGCCGTCTTACGACCTGACACAGACACGCTGACAGTCGGTGTGGATCCCATCGATGCGGTCGCGAGCGTAACCGCAGAGGCAGATGTCTCACGTGACTGGCGCGCGCTGCGGCACATCCTGGAGATGTGACCCGTTCTGCCGCAGTTGTAGCACGCCCGATCCGCAGCCATGCAGCCGACCGGGGCGCGGCACGCTGACACGGCGTCGGCCTCGCCGCCGACGATCTCCGTGACGTCACGCGTCGCAGCCTCCTCGGAGCGGCAAATCTGGATCGCCTGCTGCAATGACGGAAGTGGGACGGCGCACAACCGTTTGATTGTCGCCGGGTCGCGCAGGCCCACGACTATACGGTCCCTGATCAGGCTGTCACGGCAGGCACCGCAGAATCCGCACTTACGGCTGAGGTCACGGAGGCGGGTGGAGAGGTCATTAAATGACTCGCCCTCCTGCTGGGTGCGCATATTAAATTTGCGCCTCTGAATGACCTCGTTGACCTGGCCGCAGGCGTAGCCGTCCAGGTGCGGGGGGACGACGGAGAGGTCCGATCGCTGGGAAGCAGGGATGTCGAAGTTGGCCGCGACTGTCAGGACCTCGTCCGAGAGGCACGACCGGAGGATCGCCAGCTGCAGGGCTGGCGGCCTGCTGCTTAAGTCCGACAACATCGCGTAGTCGTCCCATCTCTGTCGCCACATGCGGTACGTCACTCCGCGGTCACCGGTTCAGCTCCCATCGTTCCGGTTTGGCATCTTTTGCCATCGAGTCTGGCACGAATCGCGTTCCCCGGGGCACGGCACTAGTCACAGTGTCGTCCATATCTTCCGGCAGGGGAACCGAGGCAGGATCAATTCCCACTGACCCTGCCGGCTGGGCCATGTTCGAGTCTGTCTCCGCGAAGGTGCAAAAGAGTCGGCGGTCGGAACTAGACTGTATTTCCGTACTTCGCGAGGCGCTCTGCCATCTACCGTTCGGTCTAAATACTACTACTCGCGCGCTATACTCGGTACTCGCACAGTTGCCGTACGTTATGCGGGGAAACTTTTGTTAATTTCCACTTTTTTGCCCCTCTTCTGGACTCAGTTTGCCCTTGATGTCAGACTGTCGTGGGAAGAAAGTGACTGATCCTCAGCCTGAAGTGTCATTCAGGCGACCACGACGAAATCTCAAGTGGGAGCACCGTAAATCCGATATGGGAATCGAAGGGCTGACTAAAGATCATTGATGGGACGCGGGTCAGACCTTCAAATACCAGCCAGAGGGCCCGTTGCACCGACTGGGCCCCGGTCTGGGCCTGGGAGCCCATTTCCCAAGCAGGGACAAGGTCAGGACCCGTGATTTACATTGGTCAGTGCACCCCAGGCCAATGAGGGGCCCCTGTGTCGGTCAGGGGCACACAGCGCCTAACCGGATGTCCGGTGTTGACAAGGGCCCCCGAGTTGGTCAGGGGGTGTACGAGGGTGCCTGAAGAGGGACCGATGTGCCCTCCAAGACTGACGATCAACGGGCCTATGGAAAGGCTGAATGGCCGTAAGAGTCGAAAGGCTGCAGGTCATCCTGGCCCGCGTGGCTGTGATCCAAATGTCAGCCAATTGCCTCTTTCGCCGATTGTGAACCCCTGGGACAGTGCGGGCACCTATTTCGGCCGGAGACCACTACACCGAATAGTTGACTCCGTGCTGTTCTGAGGCCTGGGGCCCCATTTCTCTAGCAGGAACGAGACCGAGGCCCGCGATTTGCGTTGGTCGGGGTCCCTACAACAATGAGTGGTCTTTTGACGGTCAGACCCTCAGAGTGTCCAACAGGGGGTCCTGTGACGGAAGGAGTCCCGAGTCAGCCAGAGGTGACCCGGGGCCTCTGCGGGGCCCTTCACCCCGTTTCAGCCACGGGTCCGTTGTCCAAACATGGCTCTCTGTGCTAGTTATTGAATCACTTGCGGTTATCAGAGATATTGTTGTCCCAATGAGGGCTCTTGCGCCTATTCCGGGTCAAATGCCCCGGCCAAAAGCCGCCAAAGGGCCCTCCGCGCCAGGGAGGGCACCAATGTAGGACGTACATCCGTGAGGGCCTCCGGACGAACCCATCAGGCGAACCCGCCTCCATGTCGCCAGAATGGCAGCTGGTAGACACCCCGGGCTGGGGTGTCTGTAATGACCTTGAAGCAATTGCCCGAAAGGGTCGTATGCGCCTAACTTTTCACTAATGTTTGCACATTTTACACATTACATTACGCATAATGTTTACATATTACACATTTTCAATTAATGTTCACACAAGACGCTGGCCTCATTTAGATTTACGGCCAACCTTCACGGGATCCTCAATATATCTGTAGGGTGTGGACTTCCTCCTCCTGGAGGGACGGAGTCCTCTTTATCTTTAGTCCCCCTTATGGCATTAGAAACTTCGCTGCTGTCCGGTATGAAAAGCTCAAATTAGAAATAATTCCGCTTACAAGTGAAGTGAGTTGGCATCATCACGCCACACCGACAATGAGGCCACCCACTTAACAGCGGCCGTCGTCGAGATCCGAACTCAGGCTTACCGCGTGCGAGAACAGAATGCTAACCATCCATCCACTATAGATGCAGGCCCTGCGGCCGAAAATTTGTGGTTAGAATAGGACTGGTTCAGAGTGAGTTGATGGATTTCGTGATCGTTTGATGCTTACCACGCATAGAGCCGACTTTTCGTACGGTTTTCTGCATATTTGCAGTTGCTTCCCTCTTAGACTGGCAATTCGCGTATGCTCGACACGCACAACCATCTGAAAAAATTTTGGAGGGTGTATAATCCCGGTGCGTAGCCACCCTCCATTTTGGAGGGTGTACAAGCCCGGTGCGTAACCACCCTCTGTTCTGGAGGGTATATAAGCTCGGTGCGTAACCACCCTCCGTTTTGGAGGAGGTATACGCGCAGCCTCTCCGTAACAGCTTGTGAACGGTTTTAAGCACAGCGCTACAGTTTTGAGCACCTGAGTTTATACTATTTCCACACAGGTTGTGAAAATATCAAGTTCCTGAGCTAGACGGTCCAAGATCTATAGGCTCTTTCCAGGTCATGTCGGTGGTATTTGGTATGAAAATGAGAAAATGACGTTTTTTCTCGCAGAAAATGTACCTCAGAGGTTTTTTAGCCTGATTTTTCTAGCTACGGCATATCATTGCATTGCTTTCGTTCTGGTGGCTCGTGCAGTCAGGTCATCCAAGGTCAAGCAAGGTACGCTTGGTAGGAGGTCAATGTCAAGCAAGGTATGCTACCGTGGCTCATGTGAATATATTTGGTCGTTTGACGGTCATGTGATTATAGCCCCAATGACACATGTCTTGCGGAATGGGAAGGCCTTTCTAGCGCTGTTTTCTCCGCTGACTGGCTTGCCTATTAATATCGGCCTTTCAACAGCCCTTCCCACATTAAGTCCATGAGAATCACAATAAAAGCAGTCAGTCACTATTGCAGCTTTCATTTCGCCATCTTTTTGACGTTCGACGTGGGGATGTCTACTGGACGTGATTCGGCGAAATGCATCGATGGTTGTAGCGAAAATGTTTAACCTAGCCATAGTATTTGTCCCTCTGTCGACTTCAACATCCCTTCAGCGTTCCATAAGGTTATGTCTAATGGATGTGGCACGATGATACAATCCGACGGTTTCATCGGCAATTTCACGAATTAAAATCGAACTAATACGTGTGCTGTCGGAATGACATTTCAGCGCATTTGGTCTGATTGAGATAATGACCCCCTGGAAGTACAACAGAGACACTAACGTTAAGGAGACTAACCAAATTTTCGCCAGCAAGGGAAACGTTGTCTGAAAATCCTGCGCATTCAGCCCAAATTTTTGTAAACCTCCGGTATCTAGTGCAACCCTCGTGACTCCTGACTCGGGGAGGGGACGGCACGAACCCCTTGGCCACATCCCTGACGCTAACGCCGTAGGCCTCCTCAGCGGTCGAGCTTGGTCGAGCGTCCTAAAATCCGTCAAAACGTCACCGCGCTGATTCCGTGTCCATCTAGGAGCCTCCGAAATCCAGCATTGATAAGCAGCCTTTAAAATGAAAGAGTGCAGCACGGCGCACGGCCCCAGCGCATTGATATTTCTTGAGAATACAATCCACCGCGTTGGCGTCATCCACCCACTCACGTTCCTCCTAGCGCACAACTGCGTCTGCAGAAACTATTCCTCGTGCACACTGCGGGCCGACGCCGGCCAGCAGCAACACAATGCGTTAGTGTGTGTTTAGTGCAGGTACAGGATGGCACCATTGTCAGCTCGGCACCACCAACAACTTAACGATTTTTGAGACGACCCTCTTGCGTCGCTTCGTCGGAACTCTGTACCTCCACTCCCCAGTCCTCGTGCCGCCCACTGCGCCCGGTCATGCACTTGCAGACCCCCGTTTGTGTGAGACCGGCGCCAGGGTGCGTGCCTGTCAGCACTGCCAGTGCAGCATCAACCGAGTCCCCTCGTTCGGCCGGACCCGTGCGTCCGTGGCACGTGTCGACCGCTCTGGCAGCACGCTTCGCCGTCTGCCGTGGTCGTCCGTTCGTTGGTCAGGTTTGTTCATACCACGGCTCGAGTTTATGTTCATTTTGCATTATCTGCATAACGGACACACGCACACACTTCTGCCCGCCAGCATTCGGAGGAAACATACAGACGGCGTAGAAAACCGGATCATATTAGTTAACAACGGCGGAGTGCGTCCGCCCTTTCAGGGATATAACCACAACTAGGCACTTTTTGGCTTATTGTCTACCGTGTATATATACATACGTACATACAAGCCAGCGATAAAATTGTTACGTGAATTGGCGTGTTGTGGGTACACGTGCACCAAGCGCGCTGGGCCGCGCCGACACCAGCCTGGGGCCACTGCACAGTCGACACAAGCCTCAGCCTCTGCAGCGCGCCGGGTCGCCACACACCGGCACCGGGCCCGCCTTCTCTCGGCGACCCGGAGCTGCCGCCGCCGCCGGCTCCATCCCGGACACGCGCGAGCTCAGGCGCCTGCCGGCGAGCGCGCCTGCCGCGGCGGCGTTAGAGAGTGCGCGCGCGCGCGCGTTAATCTCACACAGGCGCGTGGCGGCGGCCGCCGCCGCGTCCCCCCCCCCCCCTTCCCCGACCCCTGCGGCGCCGGTGCGGCTCACAGGTCGACGGGGTCGACGTAATTGGCGGGCAGCATGCCGCGCTGGCCGGTCCGCTGGCACGTGCCCGTCATCCAGCCGTCGTCGATCGGTTGGCAGCCGACCAGCAGGTCGCCGTCGCGGAACGAAATCTCGTCGAGGTCGGCCGCGTCGTAGTCGTACATGGCCCGGTAGCAGCGCTGGAACGGCGCCGGCAGCGTCAGGCCAGCGCTCACAGCGCTCAGCGCCGACACCACGGATGCGATGACACCACGGCTACCAGACACTACGGCTACCAGCCACGATACCACCGGACGGCGGTCGACCAATCAGCTTCAGCCGACAGATCAGCGCAGCGACACACGATGAACGGGGGTGGGAGGGCAGCGATGACGCATGCCATCAACCAATAGCATGTAAGCTACACTAAACGAGACTATGACAAAAATTCTACATCCGACAAAAATGTCAACATAAATTTTTCCGTTTTCAAGCTCTGTCGCAGTGCGCAAGACCATTTGCAGAATAAATCAATGCAAATTTGTTGGCACATCATATATACACTAAATACACATCACACACTAACAAAGATGACACATGCATGTTTCACCAAACACACGCATGCCGTAAAATATTGGCGCAACGGCTGCACACGAATCCACACAGCACCCATTTACGACCAACTCACGGGCAACAAAACACGACGCTACCTAGCAACCGCCCACAGACGCCAGGGCGGAGCGCCGTAAGTTCGTCCACGGCGGCGGGACCACTTCACGGCCGCGGGAGACGCCGGCGGCGCAGCGTGGCGCATCCTCAGGCGCCGCCGTCGCGCCGCCGTCGCGCCACCGTTCTCCTATTACGCGCGCCCGGTGTGTAGCCAGCAGTCGGCCGGCGTCGGCGTGCCCGCAGTGGGTGGCGTGCGCCACCGCCGCCGAGTACTCACCCCGGAGGCGGGGGGCAGGTGCGGCTGCGGCGCCGGGCCGCCCCGCGCCGGCCCGCCCGCGTGCGACGCCAGCTGCTGCTGCGGCGGCGGCGCCTGCTGCTGGGGAGGGGGCTGCTGCGTCTCTGACCGGTACACCTGGTAGCACGCGCCCACCCCGTCAGTCATGCGCGCAAACGACGAGAACCGGTGGACTAAAAAAAACACGTGCACACGTGGCAAAAAAGGATTTAGTTTGCAACGCAGCGACAGAAGGTGAGACACGAAGGGTCGCGGCGACGGTGGCGCCGACGACCGGCAGCGACAAAACGGTGAAGTAGTCAGGCCGAGGGAGGCATGCGTGCTCAGCCGGCCGGCGCCTCACCTGCTGAGAACGGTAGCCGCCGTGGTCCTGCCGGTACCCGTACTGCTGCTGCTGCTGCTGCTGCTGCTGCTGCTGCTGATACCCGCCGTACGGCTGCTGTGGCTGCTGCTGATACTGCTGCGGCTGCCGGTACGGCTGTGGCTGGTACTGCTGGTGCTGCTGGTGCTGCTGCTGGTGGTGGTACTGCTGCGGAGGCGCCTGCTGGTAGTGCTGCTGCTGCGGAGCCTGCTGGGCGTAACGCGAGCCCAGCGAGCCGTACTGGTCGTTGACCGGGTCGTACTCCTGAATCGATCCGACGCGCTGGGCAGGCGGCGCGTTCACTGGGGCGGAACGAACAGGGTCACACGCAGCCACACCACGCTGAAAACCCAGCAGCACAGCACTGGGAACAGTGGAATATGGTCATCCGTGGAGAATTCCTCTGCACAACTAGAGGAACCCTTCACGACGTACTGGAAATATTCACCCAAGAAAGACACCGCCTTTTGCAGCCGACAAACACGAGACACTCCAAAACAGAGGAAGCGGACGCGCGAATATCAAATATGGGTCGCCATCCCAGAAGGTTCAGCTTTATTAAGTCGGGTCAACCAACATGAGGCAGCAAAACAAGGCACGAGGCGAAGAACGCCTATCAACCTCAGGAGAACTAGACCATAAACAGGACAGATCCAACCAAGATCTGCACATCCTGACACCGCAGAAGCGGAGCCTCTCCGTCCGGCCAACATGAAGCCGAGTGAGTCACCAGGCCACCGCTGGATTAGCATTACAGCGCCGCTTACAGGCGGGCTGGTTTCCCACTCCCGGGCACAGGGATCACTCTACCGCACACCCGTCACTGCTCTGGGGCGCTCCGAAGCAGTTTGTTACCAAAAAGAGCAGACGAAAAATGTTAAGCGGCTGGGTGGTGGTTTTGAGCAAGTGCCGCCGGGCCGAGCCGCAGCCGGGAACGCCTCGCTCGAGACGCCCCGAGCAGGCCGGCCCGCCTCTCTCCGCGGGCGCCCTCTCGCGGGACGCACGGAGGGCTCGTGCCGTGACGCCCTCCCCCCCCCCCCTCACACACAAACACACACACAGGCGCAGCGGCAGCGGCGGCGGCGAGGGCCGCGGCCACGCAGTCTGCCCCGCCGCCCGTCACGCCGGCGGCGTCCGTGTCAGTAGGCGCCACACGTGGACGGGGAGACGAGCGGCCGTCGCCCACCCACCTCCCGGCTGGGCCAGCTGCGGCCAGATGGAATACTCGAGCGCCGGCCGCGCCGCCGCTAGAACGCAGCGGTACGTCAGCAGCGCCGCTCCGGACCAGCCACGGCCGGACACGGCGTGTGACGAGTTACACTCTGGTCCCGCGGGAATGGGTCGGTCCAGGGCAAGACAGACTATAACCGTCCTGGACAGGTCAGACGGTGTCAGGACAAGTCCGGAGAGCTCGTGTCAAGTCATGCCAGGTCCCGTCAGGCCATAGGCGAGGTGACGGCAGGATAGGAGAGGTAATGTCAGGTCATGACAGGCCATGCCAGATCATGCAAGGTCAGGTCAGATCCTGTTTGGCGAGGTCAGGACAGGACAGAACAGGGGACGTGATGTCAGGTCAGGTCAGACCATGCCCAGTCATATAAGGCGAGGTCAGGACAGCACAGGTGAGGCCATGTCGTCAGGTCCGGTCATATTGGGTCCGACCAGACCAGACCAGACCAGACCACACCAGACCACACCAGACCACACCAGGCCAGGCCAGGCCAGGCCAGACCAGACCAGACCAGCCCAACCCAGACCCGGGACGGTGGCGGCGGTGTCTGGACGGGACGGGCGGGGCCCGGCGCCCGCGGACGCCCGGGCAGGGTCGGCTCCCTCCCCACGAACCACTAGTCACGGGCGAGACCTGGCGTGCAGCGCGTCAGCTGTTACAAGGCGCGTGCGGCCAGCAGCGAAGCACCACTCACCTCCGCCGAGTAGAGACGGCCGTCGCCGCAGATCGCGCCGACTACACCGCGCGGGACCTAGCGCGGTACCCGCATCACTGTACCTCGCGCTGCGGCCGCACCGCAACGCACGCGGCGGCACGGTGCGGGCCGTGACGGGAAGACAAGCCCTGGCTGCACCCGAAGCGTGCTGGGACGGCTATATGTCGGCGTGGGCGGACTTTAAAAGGGGCAGGACTGACGGACCTGAATGCACCTACACCGTACTGGAGTGTGTCATATGTCGGTCGAAGGGGAACCTAAGGGGGAAGAAGTCTAAGGGAACAGGACCCCCGGTCGTACCTGCGCCGTGCTGTGATGTGTTTAGGTCGGTCTGAGGACACTTCAAGAGCAGGGCCCCTGGCTGTACCTGCGCCGTGCTGGGATGTGTTTAGGTCGGTCTGAGGGGACTTCCAGAGCAGGGCCCTTGACTGTACCTGCACCGTGTTGGGATGTGTTTAGGTCGGTCTGAGGGGACTTCCCGAGCAGGGCCCTTGACTGTACCTGCGCCGTGCTGTGATGTGTTTAGGTCGGTCTGAGGGGACTTCCAGAGTAGGGCCCTTGACTGTACCTGCGCCCAGCTGTGATGTGTTTAGGTCGGTCTGAGGGGACTTCCAGAGCAGGGCCCTTGACTATATCTGCGCCGTGCTGGGATGTGTTTAGGTCGGTCTGAGGGGACTTCCAGAGCAGGGCCCTCGACTGTACCTGCGCCGTGCTGGGATGTGTTTAGGTCGGTCTGAGGGGACTTCAAGAGCAGGGCCCTTGACTGTACCTGCGCCGTGCTGTGATGTGTTTAGGTCGGTCTGAGGGGACTTCAAGAGCAGGGCCCTTGACTGTACCTGCGCCGTGCTGGGATGTGTTTAGGTCGGTCTGAGGGGACTTCAAGAGCAGGGCCCTTGACTGTACCTGCGCCGTGCTGTGATGTGTTTAGGTCGGTCTGAGGGGACTTCCAGAGTAGGGCCCTTGACTGTACCTGCGCCCAGCTGTGACGTGTTCAGGTCGGTCTGAGGGGACTTCCCGAGCAGGGCCCCTGACTGTACCTGCGCCGTGCTGGGACGTGTATATGGTGGTGGCGGCCTGCGAGCCGCGCGCGGAGTGGGGCGACACGCCGGCGCCGCCGTAGTTGTTGTTGCTGAGCCGGGCGGCGTGCGCGTGCGAGACGGCGGCGGCGGCGGCCGGCGGCTTGTCGGCGCGCGAGGCCGGCGGCGCGATAGCGGGCTGGGAGGCGGCTAAAACACAGACGGCCGGCGCCAGGCGGTAACGGCCAGGCTCGCTCGACACGCGGGGCCAGGCGGACGGCACGGCAGGCGGACACGGGCCGACGGCGCGCCGACAGGCAGCCTCATCAAACACCGACACCGGCACGTGCCGGTGATGACACTACAATTTGAGCATACAACTGTGCGCGATACAACTTCAAGCGGCATGTTCTTATGCCATCCAGGGGGTTTGTGAAGAGGTATGCCAAATGTATCTCAATGACACCACGAATAGCAGAATTGTAAACGTGATAAGTCACATAAAACACATCTTTAAGAAACACATGTATAAGAATTTCGTGCTGAAAGTAACTGTAGAAGGAACCCTCCGACTAGACCACCGACAATAGAAGAATGCAAATTGACTATTTCGCTTATGAAACTGCCTGCCGACGGCCTGAGGACAAAACGAAGCAGGTAGACAACACACGGGAGCAAGCGACAGCCAAATGGTACGAAAAACAAGACAGTCAAGCGGTCACACTGGAACACAGGACTGAACATAATACAGGACTGTTAGGCAGGATGAATCCAAGTGGGCGACCCTGATGTGGCGCGTATGCCCCTCCATAGGTCGTACGGGACAAAATGAGAACATGTGCGTCTGCGGTGCAGCAAGGCATCTGCAAGACTACCCAAATTTGGGAAACCCGTACGACCTAGGCCTAAACATACGCAACCCACATCTTGTGGCGCCACTGGATTCTCCTTTTAATGTAGGTTAAAAAACAGCAGCCTTTCAGCAGCTCGACCAGCGTCTTGAATGTGGTCGTTTTACGTCAAATACGGAGGAGTTCGTGGGAAGCATCTGAAATTGTGCCGGTGGACGGGAGTCCGTGGAGGAGATCCGGATACCGGGGCGGGATAGGCGGCGACGCGGCCAGGGCCTGGTCATCGATCGAACCGAAACGCACTAGAATTGAGCAAACGACACCACACGACAGCCACCTCTAGGCCAAACTCAAATAACGCGTCAAAATAAACCAGACCGGGGACAAGCATTCCCAAATGCCTCTGAAGGCAGCCAATCACAGCACGTGCCACGTCCGAGCCTAGCTGGAAAAGGGCAGCACACACGCCCACAAACCAAGCCCCGGCTCGTAGCTTGCCGCATGCTCTAGCCGATCTCCTAGGTGGGCTGCGGCGCCGCCTGAGGGGCGCGGCCTGGCCCGGCCGGCCGGCCCACAAACACCACAGAGCCAGCGAGCGAGCGCCTCTATATTACCGGGGCCAGCGACTGGCGACAGCGGATCACACCCAGCAGCGCCGGAGGCGGCGCCACGCCGCGCGGCGCGCACACTCTACACACGCTCTAGGTCGGACGCTGACAGGCGTCATGTTTACCTCTCACGCGCCGCGCGCTCGCACAACTAGAACAGAGCGGCGCCTCAGTGCTCTGCAACCGGGCCCGTCGCTGCGTCCCGGGTCACAGCACGGCGTGCGGAGGGACGCCGCAGCGGGGCCCGGCCCCGAAAACAACGCGATCGGCGCCTCGGTCAGCCCCGGACGGCCTTCCATATCACAGCTCACTGACCACTGTCCCACACAAGGTACAAAAGCTCAGCCAGGATCACTGTCAGGGCCGCGCGCTGACCAGAAGGTGCGGCCCACGCCACAGCCCCCATCCCAACAGAACCCCGCCGGCGTGAACAGCGCCAAGCCCAGAGAAGCCAGCACCGTCCAGGGAGGCGTCGTCTGCGAAGAGCATGTTCGTCACGGCGAGGCGGCAGGGCAAGCAACAGCGAGCGAGCGAGCGAGCGAGCGGGCGAGCGGGCGGGCGGGCGGCCGAGCGAGCGGGCGAGCGGGCGGGCGGGCGGCCGAGCGAGCGGGCGAACGGGCGGGCGGGGGAAACCAGACCTCAGTCTACCGCCCCCAGCTCCTCATCCGAACCATCGCTCCAGGCCCGCTCGTCGTCCCAGCAGAACAGCACGTGATGGTTGTGCGTGCCGAAGGCACCCAGAAGGAAGGGCAGCAGCTGCTCGGCAACGGGGTCGCCGGCCGTGGCGCTCAGGATCTCATCGTAGCACGTGCCGCACGGACGGGTGCCGAACAGCTGCGGGAAGTCGTACACCGGCGCCAGCTCGTCGACGGGCTCGTCCGGCTCCAGCTCGTCCGCCTCGTCCTCGGTGTCCGCCTCGTCCTCATCCTGCTCGAACAGGTACTCGCCCACGCCGTACTTGCTCATGATGCGGCGCAGCAGGCGCTCCTTGTGCGCGGCGCGACGCTGCGCCTCCGAGCCGCCCTCGTCGTCGTCGTCGGCGGCCGGGCGCGGCGCCTCGCGCTGCAGCTGCGCCACGTCCTCCAGCAGCGCGTCGCTGCCGGTGCGCGCGAACTTGCGCCTGCGCGCAGCGGCGGTGGTGCCGGCGCCGGGGCCGGCTGAGCCGCGCAGCCCGTTACGCGGCGCGGCGTCCGGCGGCGGCGCGTCCTCCTCGCCGGGCGGGGGCCGCCCATCCAGCGTGGTGAGCCGCAGCAGCTGCACCCGCTCCAGTTGCTGGCTGGCGCCGTCGGGCCGCTCCAGACGCGTGTTCACCACGTCGATACGCTCGGAGACGCGGCCGGCGTCCAGGCCGTACGTCAGCAGGCTGCTCAGCTGTTGCGTGTCGACGGTGCCGCGCTCGGAGCGCCGCGCCTCGCGCAGCATCACCTCACGCCGCGTCACACCGTCCAGGTCCTGTATCAGATGGCGCCGGTAGCCGCGCCGGCCCGGCTCGGCCGTCTCCTCGGTGCTCTGCTGCACGGTGAGGCGGCGGCGCGGCGGTCGCCGGCGGCCCGGCCGCTGGCGTCGCTCCTGCTCCTGCAGCCGGCGCCACGTGTCGCACACGCGCGCCACGTTGCAGCGGCTAGCCTTCCACTCGTCGAGCGACATGGTCTCGAGCCGTTCGGCCACGCTCTCGGTCATCTCGCCGGCCAGGCTCTGGCGCGCCAGCCCCAGCGTCCACCGCTTCAGGCCGTCCTCGCGGCGCGGCCGCAGCCGCCGCCGCCGCCCATCCCCGGTCCCGGCCGCCCCCGCCCCCGCCCCCGCCCCCGCCCTCGCCTCCGCCGGCTCGGGCTCGGGCTCCGGCTCGGGTCCCGCGCCCGCCCGCCGCGCCCGCTCCGCCATCGCCAGCAGCTCGTCCTGGCCGCGCGTCAGGTAAGAGTTGAGCGTGTTAAACTTGTGCGCCAGCCGGCGGTTGTGCGAGAAGCGGTATCTACCTGGGTCGCCGTCCTCGCCCGTCAGGTGGCGCCGCTGGTCCATGTCGGCCTTCTTCTCCAGGTCGCCGTGGTAGGCGGCGTTGCTGCCGCGCGGAGAAACGGTCAGCACCACACGCCCGGCCGCGGCGGCGACAGATGGCGCTGCCCGCGCGCCACCCGCACGTCCGCTCCCGTCATACATATCCGGCTCACAGGGCGTCCGCACGGCGTCACAATAGTCACGCACACCGGTGACGGCCGCGGAAGTCCGTCACAAAAACGCCAAACGCTCATGACCGTACAGACATTCACAGCGATTCAACACACCCAAGCTCACGCACAGGCCGTCATATGTGAAACGATGTGTGGCCGCTCACCGCCGGAGCAGTCAGGACCGGCCGGTTTACCTGATGATCTTCGTGTTCTGCTTGATGCGCAGCGTCTCGGGGTCGTCGGCCACCGTGGTGAACTTGCCCTTGGCCGCCTCGAACTCGGCATGGTACTTGACCTGGAGGCCGCGGCTCGCGTCACGCGCACGGTCTGGGGTCACGGGCAACTCCAACCACACACACACACACACACACACACCAGCTGGCGATGGGCTCCAGTGACGTCACGAAATCGGAGCGTCGTGCCGACCACACACACATATGACGACACGGTTCGTTTGACGCGCGCCTCCTCGGGACCTGACTGTGATCACGGTCAGTAGTGGCCGTGGTCACAGCACGACAGGCAGCTCACGGACCCGGACAGATTTTCTGTTGAGCACTCGGAACCATCAGCACTTTAAACAATTCCGCACAAACGAACCATTCCTATCTCACATGATGTCATGCTGTTGATGACACTGACGAGTTCATTGTTTGACTGATTGTTGATTCAGAACGTAGAACCAATAAATACCACACGTTGTCCGGCGGCCCATCGGGTCGAGCTGACAGCGCGCGACTGTGTGAGTCTGCACAAGTATTTCCACGTTCTCGGGCAGCAATCTACGCACTTACGTAGAATGCTGCCCAAGAACGTTGCGCGGGTGACTTGAAAGGGGAATGCGACGCACGTCAGCAGGGGCACTATACGCTCGTCTTCGAAGGAAGTACCGAGCGGTGTGCTGTGCTGCGGGCAGACGGGCCTGACACGGGGTTCCAGATCAACAGCGGCGATGGCTGTCTTATAAACACCCGCTCCGACCGGTCGCCACGCTTCGGAGGCATCGCACTAGCACCGTACAGAGGGGCCCGTCCGTGCAACGCCAGCAACGTCCCTCGACAAGGTCAGCAAACAGCATACACAGACCTTTGGTGAAAACAATGACCAGCGCTGCCGAAATTGAAGCTCGTCACAGGCATACCGCCGACAAGAGTGTGCCACTGGGGCTTTACGACGCCTTCAGCTGCTGAGGCTCCATGGCGTCGTCTGCCTCGCGGCCTGGCTGGAACGGCGAGCACCGGGGGAATCGAGCCCTGTACCTCTAGTTGCCCAGACGCGCAGTGGTTAACGCACATGCGCTTACCACTACACTATCAGCGCCCAATGCCACCGAGAAGCTATCCTTGGCTATGGAACAGAGTAGAGCAGACAGCTGCCAGCGAAGCGAAAAAATCTGGTGTATAAAGGTATTAAATGACGTCGTTGCATCCTCCACTAAATCAGGCCCTTTTTGGCAATGTGGTCATGTTCCCAAGGAGCCGCGAAATTCAGCAAGAATAAGCTGCACTCATTTTTTGGTGAGCACCTAAAAACAAGAGTTCGTAACGACGCTGTTTGTTAAGAACCGCGCCGCAATGGCATACACACCTTCAAGCCTTTGCGTATCCAAAGTAGCTGGTAAAATATCAGCATGGGTTCGCAAAAACAAACATGCAACCAAATTTTGAAATCAGACACCTACCCACCAAGTTTCCATAAGCTGAAAACCTAGCCCGCCAGACCCTCTAGAACTGCAGTCAGCGCCCCTCCCCGCTCATAATTGATCCTTCTGTAGCCGCCTGTGTTTGTTTACACATGACGCTTCCCGACTAGGCCATCGTGACATCACTGCAGGCCTCCAGTTTACGTTTCGCTAAAGCGCTGGAGTGAAGCCCTCTGAGCTGAGAAGGTCTCTCTTCTATGGGGACCCACAGCAACACAGTGTTGACTTCACGGCATCTGAGGCAACCGTCTTTCGCCTGAACGAAGCTTGAGATAGCCTCAGGTGTTTGAAGGAAGATGAATGGCCATTATTCCTCCTCACCTGGAACGTGATCTGGACAGCCGCATTGTTCACGTGCCTGTGGACGTCTTTCCATGAACGATTACTACTACCACTGGCTTCAGGATATACATACTAATGAAATGGAAACTATACAAACCAGGTCCCTAACAGGAGATCGTACACGGTATTACGTACGGCCATAGGATCCATGACTGTAGCATCAACCACACTACTGTCCGAAAACCACTGTCTCCATCCCCCCCCCCCCCCCGCATAAACCCGCCGCGTACGTAATAGCATGCCACTGCAGCAAGCACAAATGCTGCAAACCTTCTGACAAACAGCCAATGGTTCTGAGGCGTAAAAAAGGTTTGTCTCACTGCACTGAATGCGCTGCTGATCAATGCTCATTAGCATGCGATCTATCCACGACCTTTTGTGGTCGTAAGACAACGATTTCGCCGCCTCCCGGTGGCGAGGCAGGGCGTGGACCTAGAGCACGTGGCATGTGTGTACGTCACTGGCAACGCGACCACCAAAATACCTTCATCAAGGCAGGAACCACGCCTGCTCTTTCAGACTGCGCGCAGCCCGTGACCGACGGCCCGCCGCCTGCAGAACAGAACGCCCGTCGGCGCCATCGGCGGCGGCCGCGCCCTGACCCGGCCGGCGGCGACCCGCTCATGGTGCATTCCTGCCGCTCGGGGCGGCGGCCGGCCGGCCGGCCGCACTGGCCGCAATCCAGCGCCAGCGGCCTGGGAGAGAGAGAGAGAGAGAGAGAGCGCGCGCGAGCGAGGTGGCCGGCGCCGGCGGCCTTATACGGCCGGCCCGGGCCGGGCGGCGCGCCGGACGGCCACGCCGCCGGCCCAGCCCGGCCGTGCCAGCGGCGGCTGCCGGCCGCAAATACCCGGCCGTCGGCAACCGGGCCGCCCGCAGACGGGCCGACGGCCGCCGGCGGGGGCGGCGGCGGCGGCGGCGGGGGCGACGGTGACTCAGCGGCGACATCCGACACACGCCGGCGTCTTCCGGCGCGGCCGGGGTTCCAGCGAGCGAACGAGCGGGCGGACCGGCCGGTCGGCCGGTCGGGGCGCGGCCGGCGACCACTTTCTCTCTCTCTCTCTCTCTCTGGCCGGCGCGTGCCAGCGGCGCGGCGGCCGGGGCGCGCGGCTGGCGCCGAGGCGGGATCCGGCCGGTGCGCCGAGCTGCGGCGTCACGCTGCCTCCCGGACGCCGGTGAAACCTCACCCGTTGCGCCCTCAGGCGCATCAGCGTCGAACGCTGTCAAAGGCAAAGGCCGGGTATGGCGAAATCAAACATCCCAATATGGCTGTGAGAGCCCGATATGGACGTGGAATTGGTTTTTACCACCCGACTTAGTGAGTGCATTCCAACTGACCCTAAGCCGGAATGGTGGTTAGCGATGCAGCGATTGTGTGCCGACCACTGGGCCGCAGCTTAAGCTCGATGCGATACCAACGCGTGAGCATATCGCCCATTGCCAGCGATGTTCCAAGAAACGGGCCCATGGGGCGCGGGCTCAAGCTCAGCAATGGTGAGGTGCTGCAAATTGGAAATCACCGTGAACTTGGGAGACGTGACTGCCGGAAAACCTTGGCGGACACCAGAACGACGTGAGCTCGGCATCCCACGCAGGTGTCCAAACGTGGAGCACGACGGTCGGCGAACAAAAGCCAACACCAAACCATCACGTCAGCACCACGGCACCGGAGCACGGCGGCTGAAGGCAGCAGCCGAACCCCCCGAACCAGAGCACGCGGCAAGGCGGGGACCCGTGGTCAACGTTGGCCCGGACGGCGGCCACGCCGAACGGCCAGCCCAGCGGCAGGCAGACGCCGCTGCCGGGACGATGTCGCGAGGCGACAAGTGACGTCAGTGGTTCGCGGTTCAGTTGGCACGTTTTACATGTCTGTGGCGGGCGTGGTGCGCCGGAGGAAACGGTCCCGCCTCTCGTCGGCGGGCAGAACGGGACATCGGAGGCGACAGTGACGTCAGCGGACAATGCTTCAGCCCTGGCTCAGCCGACTAATTTAGCTCGTGGACGCGACGTCAGTGGACCGCGCTCCGTCCGGGCGTCGGACCCGTCGCTATCAAGCCCGCCGTCGGCAGACCGCAGTTGTCCGCACACTGGGTCAGCAGGCCGCGGCCGCCGTGGCCGATGACGTCACTGGTGCGGCGCTCCCGCAGCGCGGCAAGGCCAGGCGTGAGTCCGGACCGGACGCGGGCGAGGCCGCCGCCGCGCCGCCAGTCATCCGCGATACGGCAGACCGGGGCGCGGGCGACCCGCTCCCGACCGTCCCGGCGGCGAGCGCCGCACCCATCCGCCGGCTCCGCGGCGTCGACGCCTCGCCGCCGCCGGCCGCCCGTCCGGCGACACTGCCGCATACCGCGTCCGGCGCCGCCGCCGCGGTCAAAGGCCGCCCGGGCCCGGCTGCAGCGTCAGCGGTGGGCCGGCCGTCGCCGCCGCTGCCGCCGCCGCCCGGCCGTATATGGAGAAGGGCCGGGCGGCCGGCCGCCGGCGCCGCCGCCGCGGATGACACTGCCGCCGGCCGCGGCGGTCAGCGGCCGGCGCGGGACGACTCTGGCGCCGCGCCGCGATCCGCCGTGTCAACGGCGCGGCCGGCGGCCTCTGCAGAGCGCGGTCCCACTGCGCAGCGGCCGGGCCGGCGCGCGCTGCACGGCCGCCGTCACGAGCGGCCGTGGGGCGCGCACGGGTGCAGCAGCGGCCGCGCCTCGAACAAGACGCCACGCCACGCACCCCCGCGAGAGCGAGCCGTGCTGGTATACGACCACATGACTTCTGTGCAGTAAGTAAGCCACATGCAAAGCGCACAACCAGTCTTGGGCGAGACAACGATGCCAAAATGTGCGTCAGTTCGCTTCGCCTAGTTTTACACCCCCCTTCACTGGCAACGATCTCCCATCCTTGTCCTGTATTAACTAGCGCCATTTGGCATGTCCAGTGTTACTTCCTTCTCACAGATGTCGTGTGATCTGTTTCCGTGAGCCCAACTTGGTCAAAAACACTGTAAAACGTACGCCCAAAACGGTGCACTGTGGGCTTTGGGCACGTACGGTAGGTGTCGCAACGCAATCCGAACGTAGAGCGCTAGAAAGTGAGGAACAACCCGGTGTTTTTGTGCCGGTTTTTCTGGAGTGACGTAGGATCGAACAGACCACGAGGAAAGTGCGTCTTGCTTTGTTCCGAGTACGACACACACCTGCGTGGGTACGAAACACTTGTTTCGATGTATTCATGAATGCATGCTTGCGTGCCTCCGGAGCATTTTTGTATGCCTCCTGCGCCGAGCCAGATAGCGTCGGAAGTCTTGAACATGCCGCCGATGCGTGTCGCGGGACAGCCCGAGGTCACCTGCCTTGTCGGGAGATCAAGATGGGCTCCTGTCTCTTGGAGCATGCAGCCGACTGAGGGCGGCGCTTGCGGCCGCGGTCTGGTGCCGGGGTGCCCAGCGGGCCAGAGCGCCGCTGCCCTCTGGCGTAGCATGCCTCGGCCGGGCAGTCTGCGCCGTGCCAGCACACCGCCCCGCTCCGGCCAGCGTAGGCCGGTGGCGCCAGGCCAGCATCGATACTCACGTTACTCTGGATTTTCGTGTTCTCAGCGATCCGCGCCAGCTCCGGGGTCTCGGCCACCGTCGTCGCCTTCGGCTTCGGTATGTGCCTGAAACGGCCGGCAAACACGGCGGTAACGCGATGGAACGCGGAACGAGACTACAAACAAGATCGTCAAGTCTGGCACGACCGTTAGACCCGTTAACACCTCATCGCTGACCGCGACGACGGCACTCTACATGAAGCTGATGGCAGAAGCGAGACACAAGGCCATAACGCAGCCGGCGATGATGACCGGACACTTTAGAGCCGCCCGCCCCCATCCACGCCCATCTGGCCGCGTCCGCGTCATCACGGCGGCCCGCAGCGGCCGGTCCGGACGTCAGAGACACGTGGAGCGCACCGCTGCAAAGCGCGCCGGCCGACTGCCGACCGCGGACGATACAGCGCCGCCGCAGCCGTGGCAACAGCGCCCGGCCAGTACGCAACGGCGGGCGGGCACCCCGTGACGATCACGCGGCGGCGGCGGCGCGGCCGCGACGCATCGGGAGAAGCGAACGACACCGCCGCCGCCCACGCAAGGCTGGTCAGCAGCCCGAGCGTCGAGGCCGATTGACGTCGGCGGCGGACCACACGGGTCAGAAAAGCTGATGTTTGCCCGTGTTTCTGCACGCCCAGCAGTTGTGTGTTCGTCAGGATTGTTGCCATCTTGAAGACAGAATCTTGCACGCTTCAATGTTTACAGAACGCTATTTGTCAACCCAGTTTGTGCAGAAGATACCACTTTACATTTGGTCCAGTAACAGTTCGAAAGGCCACGTTCCTTTGAGTACGAAAGCAGTAACAGACATCGAGGCGACTCGGACACTGCGCCATAGATGGGACGGGTTGGGTGGCGCTGCCCCCGTTTGACGAGCGGCGGCGCCAGCGGCCGGTTGGAGTAAGTGGCGAGGCAAAGGCGAGGTCCCGATGCCCCCTGCACACACCGGTCTTGGAACGGCAAAAGGAAGCCGATGCCTCGCACAGAAGGTACACTGGGGACCCCAAGAGCTGAAGAAGTTTCCTTCATTGCAGCTTTGTAGTCATTCCGCACGCTGCGCACATTCATTTATAACTTTCTCACGTGCCGTATTGTTTTCTATCATACAATGATCAACTGTTTTCGCAGAAAAAAGGGCTGACGCGAACTTCCAGAAAACGCCCGCTGCTGGTGCCCCACGCTCCGCCACGTCAATCTCTGGGACCTTCAAGTATTCGTTCGAAGGCAATGAATTGACCACGTTAACCAGATTAAACCTGCAGGAATTCGTGCACGAAGCCCGGTCCAAATCGGGCAGCAAACGGAGATTTGCTCGATAGACCACACGGAGACATTGGACGCGACATCCACAGAGGCTACGCCGGTCCTTGGTCTGACGTCACAACAACGTTCCTCCCATTGGCCAATTGCCTGCGGGACGAGCTGACTGACCGCCACAAGGCCGAACCATCGCCGGCAGGGGCCCGAGTCCAGGGCAGACCTTTGGCCCCACCCGGCGGTAGCCTCTATCGGGGACCATCGCCGGCAGAGGCCCGAGCCCAGGGCAGACCTTTGGCCCCACCCGGCGGTAGCCTCTATCTGGGGTAAGACGAACATTTTGCATGACGCTCCTGGTAGAAAATCCTCAATTGCCGTCCAGTTCTGAGCGAAATTTCTACAAAGGTCGTCGCATGGCCCATTGCAGTTTCAGGACGCGATGCGGTCAAGCCAGTACCTTGATGGGTGTTGAAAAACGTCGTGACCAAGCGTTTAACGCCGACAGAAGCGCAGGCCCGTTTCATCTGCACCACACGCATTGTACTATATGCATGCATTACTTCTCTTGGGATGACCATTCAGCACGGACTAGCCTCTCCCCGTGCTGGCCGGCCGCGTGCCGGCAGTCGGGGCCCCTGACCCCGTCCGGCCGAGAGCGGTCAGGGCGCGGCTGCCCGCCGCTGGCTCGGCGCCAGGCGCTGCGCCTCAGCACCGGCCCTCTGACCTATACCGGCGCCGGCCGCCCCGGGCCGCCCAGCGGCGCCGCCACGTGACGGCTCCGCGGCGGGTAGGCCCGGTGTGCCGCTGCTCGGCCGCGGCCGCGGCGCTCTGCCGGACCGCTTTCCCTTTCCTTCACGGCTGTCGGAGCGCAGCCAGGCACCAGCTGGCGAACGGCCAGTCGGTGCACCGGGCCGTGCGGCCGGCACGAGCGAGCTAATTCGGACGAATGAATGAAAAAACCGGCGTGTTTCTCACCCAAGCGCATCAGCTTCCCGACCAGTCTAAACCACGCTCAGCGAGGAGCCCTAGCCGCCCCGTTGCAGCCAATGCGGACCCACCGTGGGCGCTTGCAGGACACCCCAATCGGCTCCACAGGCGGCGCTTGCCGGAGCCGCATTCCGTACCGGACCCGCTAGACACGCCAGGCCGGGACCACGCGAGCCGACACGGCGCCGCGGCCTCCCATTGGCTGGAGCGCGCTCGGACCCGGCACACACCGGGCCCCGACCCCGCTCTCGCCGCGTGACGTCACGCCCGCGGCCGGCCATCTGTCGCCGGGGTCAGGGGGCGGCGGCGTCACGACACGCCGTCGGGAGCGCCGCCAGGCAGCGGCGGGTCCGGCCGGGCCGCCGCGGCGCGGCGCGCGGCCGCCGCTTTCGCTGCCGTGGAGCGGCCGGTCCGGCGGCCTTGTCGAGGACGCCCGTCCGACGCCGGGTCGGCCGAGCGGCGGTCCGCTGCGGAGACAGCTCCGAAGCCGGCGGGGTCTGGAGCTGGGGGGCCCCGGAGCGGTCACCGGCTGACCCGGGCTCGCGAGCCCATCACGGGCCGAGACGGCGCCGCACGCCACTGCAGCCGGTACACGGCTCTTCCTTCTGCCTCAACCGGAGCGTAGCGTGATGAAAGACGATGCAAAATGGAAAGTGTCAGGTCACCATGAGATGACCTTTTGGCATTACCGCCCACAAAAAAATGATCTATGCCCTTCCTGCAATTAATGCCCTTCCCCTCCCCCTCCTCCACGCCGTCTGCAAAATGTTCTGTAATTACGAGTGCCGCTCAGCGCTACGTGCAGGCCGGCGTCGGCACCATAGCGGAACACACATGACGATCACCGCCTCACGGGATCACCGGCGGAGCACGAGATCCCCGGCGGAACACGGGTCCCGGGGCGGCGCTGGCCGTCCTTCCACGGCTGCAGAGGCAGCTGGTGGGGGGGGGGGGGGGGTCGACGGCCGACCGTGGCGGATGGGACGCCGGCGACCCCGCCACAGCCCGCAGCATCGCCTCACAGCGGCCTAATCACGCGGCGCACGGTCAGTCGCGGCGAGTCACAGCCGGCGGCCACCGCCGTCTGCAGGCACGGCCGGGTGACGCGGCGACACAGCCGCCGAGCGCGCTGTGTTTAGACGCGGCGTCGCGCGCGTGGGCGGCTCGCGGCAGTGCACGGGAGGGGCTCTGATCCGGCGGCGATAACGGCGCGCGACGCTATCGTCCCGACGCAAACACGCGCCAACGCGTTCACACACCTGGAACATCTGCCATCTAGACAGCGGCGGGCTGTCTATGGCTGGCGGGGAGCATTCGATGCCTTCAATGAGCACGTGTGAGCGTCGCGTGTTTTCAAGCGCCGTCGATCCACCCAGCGCGTTCCGCCGGACTTTACAAAAACACTCGCACTGCTCACGCCTACACCGGCATTCCTGCGGTATCCGCTGCCTTCGAGCACCGTTCGTTTTTCCGCCGTCAGCTCTTCCCGCCCCCGGGCGGAGGCCGGCCTCTGGCGGCGGCGCCGCGGGCTCCAGCCGGCCGGCCCGCTCTGTTTACAGCGCCTGCACGCCGGCACTCGACTGATACGGCGCCGGACGGGCCGGACAGGGACGGCCGCTGCACGGCTCCGTGCGGCGGTGGCTGGGGCCGGGGCCGGGCCGGGCCGCGGCCGGGAGCGACCTGGGCGCGAGCGTCGCGCCAGAGCTCGGGTCGGGCCTCGGCTGTGAGGCGGCAGCTCAGGTCGGGCCTCGGCTGTGAGGCGGCAGCTCAAGTCGGGCCTCGGCTCTGTGCGACGGCAGCCCGGGTCGGGGTCGGCTCTGTGCGGCAGCAGCTCGGGTCGGGCCTCGGCTCTGTGCGGCGGCAGGTCAGGTCGGGGTCGGCTCCGAGCGACGGCAATCCGGGTCGGGGTCGGCTCTGTGCGGCAGCAGCTCGGGTCGGGGCCAGCTGCAGCCCGCGCAGGCGCGCCGCGCCGCACCATAGCAGCGCGAAGCAGCGGCGCCGCCAGCGTCCACAGCAGAATCACACGCGTCTCGGATGTTACGAAAGGCACGCGGATGAGCTGTAAAGATCTCCGACGGCAATCGGCCCAGGGAAGGGTGGAAAGGATGGCACAAAAGCACGGATATGGCACCGTGGAAAACAGCGTGCCACAAGCTTTCACGCAAAGCGTGGCGAGGCATCCCAACAGATTGTTTTGAACACAAATTTTAGACGCAGGCGGTTAAAACCAAAGGGGATGCTGTTTGGTCGCATTTTTACACTGGCGAGCAACTACCTCCGTTGGAAAAATTTCGCTACACTAGAACTTCAAATGGAATATCCGAGCTGTTCGGGACGAACCTACGCAACCTGTTTCACAGTTCAATTATGACAGGCCTAATCTTGATGCGCACAAGTGAAGCTCATTCCTAACCTGAACGGTAGCCCTTTCCCCGCAATCTTCATCACTTATCATTACTGGCATAGCCAGCATCACATTAAAACAGTAACCTCCGGAGAAGATGAGCGCGAGCGCAAACAGATGCTAATGGCAGCGAAAACAAGGCACACCATGGTCAGAGATCTGAGCAAACGCCGTCACGCGTGCACCGCCCAACAGTGAACATGACCAAACGGCAGCCGGAGCAGCACAGCGGACAGCTGCCGCAGCAGCAGCACATCAGCGCACAGCAGTCGCGAATGCAGTACACATCGGCCGCGACAGCAGCACACAGCAGCCGCAGCAGCACACCAGACAGCTGCCGCAAGAGCAGCACATCAGCGCACAGCAGTCGCGAATGCAGTACACAACAGCCGCGACAGCAGCACAGCAGACAGCTGCCGCAACAGCAGCGCATCAGCAGCCACGACAGCAACACAGCAGCCACGACAGCAGCACACGGCAGCCGCGGCGGCACAGCAGTCAGCTGCCGCAACAGGAGCACACATCAGCTGCAGCAGACTAGCAGATAGCCGCCGCAACAGCAGCACACCGCAGGAGCACATGACGCGCCATGTCCGCACACAGCGCAGAGCGGAACACGCTAGAGCCTGCGGCCCAGCGGGCGGGTGAGTAAGACGAAGGACTCGATGTGAGCGGACCCCAGCGAGGGACGGCCAGTGAAGATGCTGCCTTCGTCAGCGTCCGACACAGATAAGAGATGATGGAGGCCAGGACACGAATCCGGCGCAAATAACGCCGCCCTCAACGGATGTCACCTGCAACATCCGGTATCGAACTGGGCACACCGCAGTTTTTCTGCGAGCAGCATTGTTCAACGCAGGCTTGCCATAGTGGGCGTGAACAATGCGGCGACCGCGATGGGCGCAGGTTCCGCACCCAGCTCGCTCTCGCGACAGCACAATGCCCGTTTTCAAAGGTTCGCAAACCGGTCAGCAATCACGCTGGGCCCGGGCGTTTGGGGCTTCAGAGTCCCTGTCTGTACCGTATGGACTTGGCTGTCAGATAGCACATTTTTACCCGATAACAGGACCGGCTTATGGGTGAACATCTCTTGATCAGTTCGCTGATAGACGTGATAACAATAGCCTTCATAAGGCAGAGCAAACGATGAAGTGAGACAGGGACAACATACGATTAATGATAACTGTGCCTCCAGGATCAAGTGGCGTTGTTATCCCTATGTAAAGCAGGCCTTTCCCACATGTGGGTTATTCCCCACTACCGCCTGACAACCCCTGCCTTCACTGGGTCAAGCCCGGACGTCATCCGTCACTGGGCTTATCGGACGGTGGACCACCCAAGGGCCGCTGCTGCCCGCCAGGGAGGACACCGCGCCGGTGGGCCGGCGCGCCTCAACCGGGCGGACCACGCCCTCGGAGCCGCCGCGGGGCGCCCGGAATAGCTGACCCACAGACAGCGCCGCGGGCACCGCCCCTCAGGTCGACCGACGCTCCGCTTCCGCCTCCACGTCCCCCCCCCCCCCCCCCACCTGTCACTGGGACAAGGCCACCGGGCCCCGGTAACAGGTGGTGCCGCGACCCGCCGGCGGGCCGCCGTCCGACGCCGGGACCGGGTACAAGTACAATCTGGGATCTGCGATCCGGGATCTGGCGGGTACAAGTCTGAGCGTGGACTGCGTGTGTGTGGGGGGGGGGGGGGGGGGGGCGCAGTCGGCGGTCAGAGATCACACAGCGGCACCACAGGCGCGGCAGTGCTCCCCCTACAGAGCTGAACGCTGGTCAGTCACACGCAGTCGGCCGCTGAGAGCAATACAGTTCCGCTGCCCTAACATTACGCGCCGTCTCCTGTCAGCGTCCGCTGGCCGTTTGAATGCCACGCTAGCCTAGTTCTAACGGAGGTGCGGTATCACACCCACCCAATGCAGGCCCTTTCCTGTTCACGGCTAATGATGAGGACCACGAATGCCAGGGATGTGGTGAGTCACCGAAGTCCTCATGCTAAGAAGCAGGCGGTGTCCGTCGTCATGCACCCCTTTCAAGGAGCGGGGACGGCTACCGTGCCCATACCAGCGCCCGGTGGCCATACTTCAGCCGGGAGTGGAGCCCGCCTCTTCCACGTGGGTATCAGACTCTCTCGACTGAGCGAAGTCACGTGCAGGAGTTGAGGTCGAACACAATAGTCGTAGGTCGAACGCGTGCATGCGGGCTATTTTCTGTGCAGACAAATACTGCTCTCCCGTGAAAAACAAACAACGGAAGAGACCTGGGAAAAACGGAACCGTTGAAAGCATAATGGCCGCGAGACTCCGAAATAGGACACAGTTTATCCAACTGATATCTAACAGTTTAATTCAGATGCCTTGTAACCGCACAGGTCAATCCTAATGGATCTAGGATCTGTCTATCACAGCCACGCCATCACAAAAGAGCGCTAGTGCTCCCACTATCAACCTGCGGTCACCGGGGCGGCAGGTGCGCCGGATGCTCAAGCTGCTTTGCTCCCGCTGGCACCAAACTGTCACCTGAGAGTCGCTCTTCACAAGCAAATATGAGCTCACTTGCGGCTTGGAGCACGCCTACTCGGTGGTTGAGTGAACTGCCGGGGCTCTCCCGCCCTCGGGTATTCCTTCGCTCGCCGGAATGTCGACCAAAACGCGTGGTTGCGTCGCGTTGCACGTCGTTGGTGCAATATCGGTCCAAGTGTGACTGATGTCACAGGATCACTCTCCCATAACTTAAACTCGGGATCTGGCAGTGGCGCTATAAAAAACGATTCGCTCATGGCTGTCCATAGGAGGTTTGGGAGGAAACAGTAATGATGCGCTCAGCAGCAGGCAGTCCATGACAACCGTAACCATGACAACCGACCAACATGTGTTTTCTGTAGGCCGTCCTGCACATCTGGCAAGAAGTCTACGCAAGGAAGGACCCTAAAAGATTTGACTGTACTTACGCCTCACAGTATGGCAGCTTGTTGAATCCTTTGTAGTTCCGCATGTTGAGAGCCATGCCACACTCCCAGCAGCGGAAGCAGCCCTTGTGCCATACCTGAAACATGCGAAATCGAGATGTCAACAAGACACATGTTCCCCGACCGCTCATTCCACGTTGCAGATGTGTATTGTATGAAGTAGCACTAAGCACCAAACGTTTTCAAGACACGTCAAGACGGTGCCCTAGCGAAGCAGGAATGTCAGAGGAGCCATGATGTACAAAACAAGGATGTTATGATAATCTTGTAGCAGCCAACACAATGATCCGCCCCAGCGACTGTGGACATGGATGTTGCCAGGAAGCAAGAGGCAATCATCCTTGCTGACTCGATGGCTCATGAGCGAGTGGCATTGAAGTCAACCCATAGTCAGTCATATTCCACAGAGGAAGTTCTGCACAATTTAAAAAAGCAAGTGCAGCCTTGATGGTATGCAACATATCAAGAAGAACTAATTACATCAGAAGTACAAGAAAGACGAAAACTCTAAAGTTTCTGAACCATTCTTTTTCAGTGCTCGTTGTTTACTGGTTTTAGGACATGCCAACTGCAGTAGTAATTTAAGCCCATCCCTGTTTTGCACTGGGATTTATGAACATATAAACAACACTGACAGATTCATCAATCTTAAGCTTCATGATAACAGGCATCATTTGAAACTGAGCAGAGGTCTAAAAATTGCTTTCAAATGCATGATATAATGAAGTTCTGTCCATTAAATTAAGTTCAAAACACATTACAAAAATAACTAGCTATTATTTTTATGCTTCAGGGCAGTGATTGCATGTTTTTTCACACATCACAATCATGACATTGGCCTATTTCATATACCTTTCATATACCTGCCCTTTGCGAATACTATGATGAATGCAGAGCTTATTTAGCAACAGTGGTCTGTTTCAAAACAAAAACTAAAAGCCATGCATTTTCCACTTGTATCACATTGGCAGTTACTTTGCTGAGGTCTAACTAATACATTTTTGATATGCAAATTCATTTGATTTTAGTTGACAATTTATCCTTCAATCTAGGATATGAAATGGTGCGGTGTCGCAATGGCCTTAGGAAGTTAACTAGAAACCTTCGGAAAGAGTACAGGATGAAACTGGTAGCAGACCTCAAAAGAAACCCTAAGGCCTTTTGGAGGTACGCCAGCTCAAAACTACATGAAGAATGCAGGGTGGAAGACCTTGACGACGATGGAGTGCAGACTAGCAGCAACAAAGTAAAGGCCAATGTTCTCCGTAAATCCTTTGCCAGTGCTTTCATGGATGAAGGGTCTAGTGCCATGCCTGTGATGCCTTGAACATTAATGGATCATTTCTGGATGACGTGATGACGTGATGGTGATGATGATTCCGGGATCTCTATCCAGGAAGTGGCAAAGAATTAGATGCTCTCAAGACTTCGAGCACCCCTGGGCCACACGATGTCCACCCAATGCTTCTTCGTGAATCTGCGGACGTCCTGGCACTACCTCTGAGCACGCTTGTCCGAAAATCATTGGCATTTGGAAGGCTTCCCCAGGCGTGGAAGCTTGTTGAGGTGGTCCCGATCTTCAAGGAAGGTAACCAACAGTCCCAAGCGAGCTACCACCTAATGAGTCTTACTGCTGTTCCCTCCAAGACACTCGAATCTTTCGTCAGAGATGCCCCAATTTATCACTTCACAGAGTCCGGACTTCTTCATGCAGCACAGCCAGGATTTCTCCCCAAGCAGTCCTGTCACCCAGCTTTAGAAGATATGGAAAACTGGAGCGCCGCGGTAGAGGATGGAGAGCCGGTGGGCGTAACGCACCTAGACTTCAGCAAAGCCTTTGATTCTATGCCTCATAACCGTCTGCTCTCCAAGCTCCATGCTTACAGCGTGAGAGGTAATTTGCTGCACTAGATCAGGGCTTTTCTTACCCACAGGATGCAAAAAGTGCGGGTCCAGGGCTCGAAGTCGGATTGGATCCACGTCGTCAGGCATACCGCAAGGACCGGTTCTGGGACCAATGCTATTCATAATCTTTGTGGACGATCTACCAGATCATGTGCGAAGTGTGGTCAAGACGTTTGCGGTTGACACCAAGATCCACTGTCGTGTCTCGAGAACCCTGACTGAGTCACCTCCACAAATTGACCTTGATCCCCTAGCCAAGTGGTCAAAGGAGTGGTTGCTCCCCTTTAATGCATCAACATGGAAAGTAGTGCATGTCAGGAAATGCAACCCAAGACTGACATACTTCTCAAACCATGCAAAAATCACAGTCAAGTCCACTGAGAAGGACCTTGGGATCTTCATAGATCAAAGGCTCAAGCTCCATGTGCAGATGGCAGAGGTGACCTCAAAGGCCAACCTGATGCCGGCAATTGTGAGGTGGTTGTTTGCCAAAATTGACGTTCACACTCTGTCACTTCTTTTCAAGATCTCAGAATGCACACACTTGAAGTACACACTTTGTCACTTCTTTTCAAGATCTTAGAATGCCCACACTTGGAGTCTATCAATGTCATCAGGGGGCCATTCAGCAGACCAGACCAGGAGGAGCTGGAGTGGATTCGGCAACAAGCTACCATCTTGTGCATGAAGTGAGACATTGGCCATAGCCTGAGATGTTCAGACTCCTCCAGTTGCACTCATTGTACTACTGTCATTGCAGGGGAGACATGGTTACAGCATATCAGCTGCCACAGAGGTATGCCACTGTCTCAAGAGGAGTTCCCGGCATGACACAACTCAGAGGTGAGAGAGAGAGCACACCATTGGAAGCTAAGAAGACCTAAAGCTGGGACTCCTGCCATTGCAACTCATTCAGAACACAGGTAGTCAATGACTGGAGCATTCCTCTGCTATTCCACACCTGCATCCATCATATTGTCAACATCAGCTGAACAGTTTAAGTCTAGGATTGATATGTACTGGGCTGGCATCATGTACAACATTCCACACTGGATCTATCCATAATTTGAGGCTGTTTGGTTACAGGACTGAAAGCCTGATGAGACTAGGACCACCAGACCCTTTATAATTCCTGACCATGAAAATGTAAGCCAAGGTAAGGCATGGATACCAAAACACAACTTGTATTCACACTCTTATGGCCAAGTCTGAAGTGCTGGTGATACTTGCTAATGTTAAGGTGTACATCCAAGCACCTAACACAGAGCAGTGCTTTAAGGACCTCTCCTCTCACATGTGACAACCAGAATTACAGATGAAATGTATGCATACTTCATATGCTTTTCCAACAACTGGGTTCTGTGAGTCAGACATTCCCACTGATCATAAATACATTCTCTTGGCCACAATGTCACATCCACACTCACACTTCATGTCAAAAGTATGCTAGAAAAGCAGAATGTTTGCATCACCAGCCAGTGCAGAAGTGAATGACCAAATCTCTGATGTTAAAACTTACTTTGTCTAGGCACTTGAGCTCCTCTGTTGGGTAGACAGTCTTCGCACACTTTCCACACTTTTTACTCATGGTAAGTGCTGATGGAATCCAGCTGATATGGCACAACAATGCCTGCCCAGGATCCGACGCACGTAAACCACAAAAGATCACAACCCCGTGACGGCACCAAGCGTACGCTGCGTTCACCCTTGGGCGAACTCGTTGAACTGAAAGTGAAACGCGCTGACGAGCAGAGGAGAGCAAAAATTCCGCAGACCGTCACAGCTTCGTATCTTCAGTATACAGGTGATCAGAAAGACCAGAACAACACTCTAAACACGATTTTCCGAATGGCAGTCCTCTCTCTGACGCCACACACAGACAACGGCATTAATGGGCGCGCCCGATGGAACCGCCGCCGCCCTCTCGTCTGAAAATTTGTCCGCGACTGTCTGTCAAGGTTGTGGATTACAACGAAGAGAGATTCTGCGATATTCAGTAGAGCTAACTTCAGAAGAAAGGGCTGAACTTAAATGACGTCATTGAAACACAGTCTGGTGTCCGGCGACGCATGCAAATTTAATGGAGTTGAATAGGGGATGACCAACGGCACAATATTAAAAGAAAAAAATGGAAGAAAACTTCAATGTAAAATGTGAGAAAACACGATGTAATAAAATTGTCTGGAATAGATTGATATGAAAAATATAATATGACAACCAGTCGGAGGGTCTTCATCAAAATATTCATCAAAATATGCACTCCGACCTATCCACCCCCTTAACTCAGTCGGTTAGAGCGCTGTGCTGTGGTGTGCGTTTTCTAGTCCCTTTGGTACTCGCTATTTGTCTCTGGACAGTCGTTCAACGTCAGATGACGTCGCGGGCTGGCTCAAGACGTCCTTGAAAATATGTAGTTCGAATCCTTACCAGTAGCAAAACGGTCTTAAGTAACGATTCGTATCAAGCTCCGCGGAGTTAAGCACGCATAGCTGCCAAGCAGCGTAGACGGGTAACCTAAGGCTGACGTAGAGGATACGCGGCTGTGTACAGTGGTGGCGCATCCGGAGGAAGCTGGCAGCGGGGCAAACTGCCGCCCCCCCCCTCCCATTTTTTGAGACGTGGGCAAAGGCATCTTTTTGTCCTGCTCCCCATAATTTCAGGTGGCCCTGAAGGGGCCGTCGGGTATGAGGCAGTACTTGCTTACTGTGTTGCCAAATCAAGCATGCAGGATGTTTGTGAAGTTAGCGATTTATTTAGCGATTTATTCATCGACGAGTTCTGATTTCTCTGAAAAAGGTCTCAAGGTCAATTGCGGCATGATAACATCAAAAATGACACTTATTTGCGCTATAATGTGACCTTCAAGGACAAAAGCTGGGTCAAAGGACGGAAAACTCGATAGCATCCAAAAATTTCCGGCTGATTTGAAAACCATAAACATCAAAATATTCACAAGCGCAAGAGCTATCGTGCGTCAAAAAGTCCTAACCTCTCAAGGTCCGCCTTTAAGGTTAAATGTAGGCTCAAAGGACCGGGAACTCAATGTCACGCAAATGTTATCGGCCGATCTTCAACTTGCAAATGTCAAAATACCCACAACAGGAAAACAAGCGTCCTTCAGAAAGTTCCGACCTCTTAAGGTCACCCTTCAAGGTCAAACGTGGGCTCGAGGAACGAGGGGCTCCACATTACCAAAACCGGCCGATTTTCAACTTAAAACATCAGAATATTCCCCACAGAAAGAACTAGCGAACTAGTTCTGGCGTCTTCAGGTCATCTTTCAAGGCCAAATGCGAAATCAAAGGACAAGGATCGCTGCATCATCCAAAATTACCGGCCAATTTTTAACTTGCAAAGCTCAAAATATTCACCACAGAAAGAATTATAGCGTCCGTGAAAAAGTCCTTAACTCTCAAGGACATCCTTCCAGATCAAACACGGGCTTAAAGGGCAAGGAACTCAATATTACCCACAAATTACCGGCCGATTTTCAGCCTGCGAATGTCAGAATATTCACCACAGAAAGCGTCCGTCAGAAAGTCCTGACCTCTCAAGGTCAGCCTTCAAGATCAAACGCGGGCTCAAAGGACGGGGAATTTGATGTCATCATTAGGTCAAGCGCGGACTCACAGGACGGATAACTCCATATTGCCCAAAAATTACCGGCCGATTTTCAAGTTACAAATGTCAGAATATTTACCACAAAAAGAACTAGCGGCCATAAAAAAGTACAGCAAATATTCTCATATTTGCAAGGTTAAAATTGGTGTGTAATCTTTGAGCGATATCGAGTTCCCCATCCTTTGAGCCCGCGTTTGACCTTGAAATGTGACCTTGAAATGTCAGGAACTTTTGACGGACGCTAGCTCTTGCGCTTGTAAATATTTTTATGCTTACAGTTTTCAAATCGGCCGGTAAATTTTGGATATTATCGAGTTCCCCGTCCTTTGAGCTCGCGTTTGACCTTAAAGGTTGACCTTGATATGTCAGGTTTTTGACGGACGCTAGATCTTGCGCTTGTGAGCTTTTTGTGTTTATAGTTTTCAAATCGGTCGGTAATTTGTGGGTGATATCGAGTCTCCCTTCGTTTGACCCAGTTTTTTACCTCAAAGGTCACGTCAAACTGAAAAAATAAGGGTAATTTTTTATGTTTTCATGCCACAATTGACCTTACGACCTTCATTCAGAGAAATCAGAACTCGTCGCTGAATAAATTGCTGCCTAAACGGACTGACCCTCCGCGTACAAATTCCAGAAAAGTGGTTTCTAGTCTAAGTGGGTTGAACCTCATGAATACAAAAATGTGTGCCGTTTAACTTCTTCCCAACGGGTTTCACTCTGCATCTTAAGGCTTGACTATCTGCCTGGAGCACTCAGCTGCTCAAGTGTGTTCAAGGAAGGCAGGAATCACCAGTATGGGTGTAACAGTTGTACCAAACACTTGAAGGAATAGACGTTTGACGTATAATGTGCTTCGCATCATGAAAATACAAATAGTTGAAAATATCCAATTTTCTAAAGTGGGGAAACTCGGGCCTGATGCAACCTTTCACTATCTCCTGTTTTCGCCCGAAGGCAAGTCACATGTCGCGTTTTCCTACCATACGGCATGCTATGCCAAATACCACTACATACTACGCCAAATACTACTACATCCTGCGTCAAACAGCGTGACGCTTTTGACGTCTCAAATGCAATCCGTTTTTGTTCTGCCACTGCGAATGACGTGACCGAGTCGCCAGGTTTTGTGCGCCCTACCGTGCCGGCTCGGACCCGGTCAGAAGAAGCTCAATCCGCCGTGGGCTCAAATTTAGTGGAACTGCATCCGCATTCAGCAGATCCGCTGAAAACTTACAGCGGTATGTATGCGTATGCAGAACACCAGATCGAAGCTAAATGCATGGGAAAGACAAACCCACTGAAGCCCCATGGCTGGATGACGCGAAGGATGTGGTCCTGCTACCATTTCACTGAAATTGCAGCCTGGTGCGCAACTCCTGTGTGATCGCACCACGCGAACGCCTTCAAGCCGCTCATGTCATACTTTGCTGGAACCTCTCATTCTGTACCTCCGTGGTGCCCTCTCACGACTTCAGAAACAGCGCTCGTGACCGTGGCACGGCTTTGAAATGTCCACTTTTGTCCACATAAGCAATGCTTCCTTGATAACGCCGTCTGACGAGTATCTTCTGGTACATTAAGGGTCGGTTATTGTCAGAACGAGACCTCCCAATTCACGACGCCTTTTTTGCCTATATCTTCCATGTTCTTCCGCTCCGCTTCTTCGTCATTTCCTCGCCTGAGTTTAATTACTCAAGCAGATGATTTAGTGATCTGAATTCAAGCTAACTCATGCAAGGTGTCCTGCACGGAACAGGTCTTCCAGCAACGGAATAAAAGTGATTCTGTTCACAACAACCACGTGACATGCTGAGACAGCTGTGGCTTTCGACTTTCACTTACTTTGGCCATATGATCCTTGACGTTCTCAGGATAACATTGACGGCTGGTGTGTGGTCAGCAGTGAGGTCAGCGGGGTTACTCAGCCGACACCGAACGGCAATCAAAGTGAGTCATGCCTCATGCAAGCATTTGCGACGAAAGCAATAGCATAATGCCATATGCCAGTGGCCCAGCCGTGGTAGTCGCATCCTTGTAATCGGCCCATCATCATCTGTTGACCAAAGCATGTGGCGTGTTGTCTTGAGCTTAACGCACGCACATGCCGTACACTACTTGCAATCTTCACCTAAGCTAATGGCACAGATAATTAGGAACTGTTTGGATGCGAGTACACTGATCTATTTTGGGCCGTACGCACACGATTATGTGAGCGGTCGAGTGGTATTATAACCAAGTAGCACGCGACAATATCAGGGTCGTGAGACGTACATTTTCATCTCCGGGCTGTTTGTTAGTGTGCAGAACGTGACTCACGGCTGGGTTGCGGCAAGCGAACTTTGTCAGTTGTGCAATGTCTAATAAGCAATTATCTTGCCTACATTCTGTGAGACGCGTTTTACCATTTTTTTCTCAATTGAACAACGCGATGGTTTACCGAAACCAAGGACACCACGCGTGCCACGTTTCGTAGCACGCAATATTGACACCTAACTGAGCGTTATTTATCGCCATGTTTTACGTGCACGCAGCCTCATATTTAGCATTAAGATATCAGTTGCCCTTGGCATGGGTGGGACTTACCTAGTTCTTTAATGTGCTCGCATTTCACCGGATGATGTTTGCGTAAAAAGGGCAGCCACCGGACTGATGTTTCGAATTTCCATGGGCATGATGGACGTTGGTGGATTTTGTGTTTGCCTTCGTGAAGGTCAGGGCAAACCAAAAATGACCTCGATCAACTTTTCGCTTTCGGTTTTGGGTAGTCATTATCATCTTCTTATGGCCAGATGAGATCACTGATCTGACATGACTCCAAGTGGCGTTTTGTGTAGAAAAGGCGTGTGAACTGAATCTGGTTGTGTAAGGAAGGCTGAGACTCCTTTGGACACTGGCCTCGAGTTTGGCCTTCCTTGACCATATTTTAACTAAGTTCATAACCTAGAGGCCTCTAATATTGGCACGGGAGTGCGACCTACTCTGTAAAGTTGGTGTTTGTATTTCTCTTACTTTTTGGTATATCACGGTGTCAAATGTATCCTTGCCTATCCGAACGCATTGCACTCAACCGACCACTTGGCCGAGTGATACATTACGTCAAGCACAGGAGGAGCAGGGTGTTGATAGAGCACGACAGAAGCACAGGGGTAGGGGTTGGAAAGTGTAACGTTCTTCTCAGGTCCGGCTGCAAATCGTGCTTGGGCCCTTTTTAATGCTTTAAAAAGTTAACACCGATACCGTGGATTTCCCATCATGATAAGCAACATGTCTATGTTTGTTTTGCACCTCCAGTCTAAATAGGGGCTAAATGAACACACAGACAAATGAGCTCGTGAATTTAACCCCCCCCCCCCCCGCCAAACCTTTGTGTGGCACGAATCAATTTTGAACGGTTTTCGTGGTCTTTCTTTACGAACGAACTTTACGACGTTCCCGCGCGCCCGACGCCTGGTCTTGGCTGCGACGGCCATCAACGTTTCGTCTCAAACCTTCCGTCTCAACCCGGAACCCAAGAGCTGCCATCCTGGTGACACGGGGCAGGGGGATCTCTGACCGATGTTGAGGTCCTCAGGGGAATGCATCAGGCATCGCTCCCTGGTCCATGACGCGGAGGTGCTCTCGCTCTGGCGTCCCGGATCGGCGCAGGGATTGGCGCCGCAAAAGGATCTCTTACCAGCATAGGGGGTCCAATAAATGACACATGAACCCGAGTTCGACTTACCAGCTCTCTGGCTGATAGGGCACGGAGGGTCCTCGTTCAGCACCGGGGATCTGACTCGACCCATGTTCCTTTAACTGCCTCTTGCGAACAGTTTCGTTGCTATTTCTGATACTGCCTTTCATTATCAGAGGGCCTCGACCGCTCCACGAGGCCCTGTGACATTCGGAGTCCCGTCCCTGCCCATGCTCAGCAAATGTGCCTCTGGCCGACTCGGGGCTCTTATTGACACAGGTTTTCAGGTTAGCCACTTTGGGATTGGCCGACACGGCGACACGGGATACCCAGTCAGCTCTGCCCGACACAGGGAGCCGACCATTACAAGAGGTTTTCAGATACTATCGCGTGCCTTTATCACAGCTTGGGAAACGGGCATATACGGCCCGGACCGACACAAAACCGACTGTTCATTTTCCGTGGTCTCTGACCGAAAAAGCCCACCTCACCCCACCCCATCTCATTTCCCCGTCAGCGCAAGAGGCTCTCTGGCATTTGAAGATCCGGCCCTGTCGCCCGAAGTTCCTTGATGCAACCGGCCGCCGGCCGCCGGGCCCCCCAATCTGTCTCTTGATCGCCAGTCCCGTGGGGCCTTTCGAGCCCCTCAAAACCTAAAGCTAGAGGGGTCGGGATTGCGTGCGCCTCATCTGCCCCCTGCCTATGGGCAATGGGGCAGATCTGGGGCCCTTTTACCTCGACCAGTAGCACTTATCGCTCTGATTCCTTAATATTGCCTAGACGACTAAATCCCTGAGACGTTGCTCAAAATTCGCCCTTTGATAAGACACCACAGCTGTTGGCTGCATTGGACTTTTATAATTTAAGTGGTTTCTGTATCATATTCTTATCCCAATAAATGCAACAATTTTTATCACATTTCGGCTGAAAAACGTATTAAGAAGTACCCAGCGGCTTTGTCAATAACCACGCCGATTGCTTGCCTTCATCTCGCGTAAATAAGCCGCCAGACTCTGAACAAATATTTCACAACACCATATCTTTATGAAAGGCTCATCTGCGTCATATTTGTATTATCCCATCTTGTGGGATGTGCTTACGCGAATGGGATATCAGAATACGTTCGGTGCTTGGGCGTGGTTTACGTGTAGGTGCTTAGAGCGTTTTTGTGGTGATTGATATCGTAAAGTTTAGCGGCATAGGACAAACAGCAATATATATTTATATAATCTGAAAGGGAGGAAGACGAAGACATGGATCAAATCTTGTTATCGGATAGGGTAAAATACCTATGCTCCTGCGGTTTTCTCAAGCCTGTCTACCTTGTGTATTTCTGCCGGCATTGCCTGAAAATCAGATGTGGAAACTGCGTTTCTCATGAGGTATGATATCCTTGTAGACTGCTCTGGATAGTTGTGATAACAATGTTGAATCATTGGTTTGCTTGTTTCCCCTTTCCTTTCTATGCACTTTTGGTCATATGGTGATGCTCCTTCACACATGCACATAACTCAGAAGTGGTTTTATGGTTGGCCTTATGGTGGTCCCATAGTTCTCAATGAAGTATTTGCTGTGATTCAATCTGAGGCATCATCACTACCCAGTGATCCATATGCTTAGCTCAACAAGGTGTGAAAATAGTTCTTATTTGGTGTTGATGGGCTAATAGTTTTAGCCAAATTCCAGGTGGACTTTATGTACTGCAGTGGATGCCTGGAGATGATGTCCAACACAGAGGCTGGCCTGAAAAAGAACAGGTGTGCCACATGCAAGGAGTGTCCCTCATGTGGACAAACACTGAGCACCCGAGCTACAAGCATTCAGGTGAGCTTAATACCCAAGCTACAAGTGTTCAGGTGAGTGAGTACCTGAGCTACAAGCATGCAGGTGAGCTGGGCACCTGGGCCACAGGTGCTGTGTTTAGGTCAGGTGAGTGCCTGAACTACAAGTGCTCCAATGGGCTGATGAGTTGAGCACCTGATTCACAAACATTCAGGTAAGCTGCTGTGCATCACTTCACATGGAAAGGCCCTGATTGTCGGGCCTGGTAATGTAGTGTAGAATGTCTTTAAAATGGTAATTGTAGACTATACAATCTCATGGCTTGTCTCACATCTTTAACTGCTGCCAATGTGCTTTGCTGGAAGACTGTTTCCAACAATATTTGGTGCAATTGCCTGCACATAATGGCTTCACTTGACCTATATTTGGCTATGCTTCATTGCTTTTCTGGTGCACCTTCAGCTGGCTTTTTGGGGTGACAACAGCACACACCAAGCATGTTTGTACTGATTGTAGTGATTGGCCTCATAAAAAGGGTAGAAGTTTTGTGCTATGTTACATAGTAATCATTTGTTATTTCTGATCTAAGCATTCTATCCTAGTGGACACAACTTTGTTGCCCGGGTCTCAACATTGGTCTTTGCATTCACTGCCCCACCATCAGACATGTGTATGTAGTGCTTGCTGTGCACCACCGTCATGTATTAGTGGTTGTGTTTATATGGATGCAAGGATTCAAGTCATCCTGGCAAGTCACTCTTGTGAGTCAAACTTGATGGCCACCCTTACAATGATGACTTCCCAGTCTATTGGTGACATCACAGCTTGGCTTATCCTCTGACTGTTCTGAGGTACAGAAGCACTGATCACTCTCTGAGCTGAGGGTGGCACGTTGTGCTTACAATCCCACTACTAAGCTGCAGCTGCGGCCAAGTCGCGGGACGGCGTCTGCGCGTGCTGTGCGTCCGCCCCCTCCCCCCTGGCTGACCGCCGGCTGGCCATCCGGCAGGCACCCAGCATGGAGGACCCGACCAAGATCGTGGCGCGCAAGGTGTACTATGTGGCCTGCGGCTTCTGTCGCTGGACGTCACGTGACAGCGGCCTGCCCGACCAGAACGTCGGTCAGTGTCTGGCGGCGTAGTGCTGTCACCGGCCGGGCGGCGCCGATCAGTAGTCTGACGGCTTAGTGCCGTCACCGGCCGGGCGGCTCCGGTCAGTGTCTGGCAGCGTGGTGTTGTCACCGGCCGGGCGGCGCCGGTCAGTGGTCTGGCGGTGTGGTGTTGTCACCGGCCGGGTAGCGTCGGTCAGTGGTCTGGCGGTGTGGCGTCAAGTTAAGCAAGTCAGAATGAATGACAACATAGTATTGTCCTTCAGATCATACTAAAATGACCTTCCGGAATGAAAATAAGAGAGCACAAGAATGCAAAACCTATGGTAATGACTAAAGTTATGACATAGGCCTTTTTCCTGTTCAGTGCCCAAGTAACACAGAATGACTGATGGAGAAGTGTGTAGAAGTATTCGTTAATAACAACAACGCATGCAAGAAAAGAAGCCCAGCATACATTGTCCCTGGTGCATGTGTCACTTTGCTGTGCCATTGACACACGCACCTGTACATCGCGGGCCAATGCATTGCATAAACGAGAACCGAGCAGAATGTGCATAACACAAGTCATAAAAACTTCGCAGCACACATTCAAAGGTACGTGTAATTGTGATAAGTCCAGCGTCGTGACGTAGTGGCGTTTGATAGGTCTGTCTCGGTCTCATTTACGTGACACATTTAACTCATTCACAACACAGCTGGCGGTGCTCCGGATCGGACGAGCGAATCTGGTCAGTGTGGTTCGTAATGATGAGTTGGACTTCAAACATGAAACATGTAAAAGCTAAACAAGCAAGCAAGTTAAACCGTGCATCAGCTTAAGATTTTCAATTGTAAGATGAACCTGGTCCATTTCAAACGGCTCGACTGAGCCATCTCGTGTTGCCTGCCGCGTTACTATAGTCTCCCTCATCTTCACTCTGTATAGCTATTTCGCCCCTCGACATCCTTGAGTGCACTGATGTCTAATGCGCTCGAACCGGCCTGCGAACGTCATCATCAGCGCCGGGACCGATGTCTAGTCCGATGATGATGGCAATAAGTGGATCGCTAGTCACCAGGAGGCGGTAGAACTGGTCCACTACCGGTTGTGTCCGTTTCAGGCCTCCCGCATTCCCTAGCTATACATGTCAGTAGGCAGTGAAGATGACTCGATCACGTCCGCTCCATAAACCAGCGCCTTGTGTACTGACGATGGCATAAATTACCACTGACACAGTGACACGAACAACTAACTCGTGCCCGTGGCGTATTGCGCGCACCTATGAATGTGGATAGGTGGGAATAAGGCCAGGGCAGACAGGGTGGACCGGTTTTGGGCCGGAGCCACACCCGCCGCCTCACAGGGTTTGCTGACGTCTGGGCACGGATGACGTGCCGGTATGCCATCGTCTGATGTGTCGCTTCCCCCTGATCACGGCTGGTCAGCCACCCAGTCCACCCTCTCTCTGAAATGTCTTTGTGCCATTTTGTCCCGTTTATTGACAATCGCTTTGCGTTTTGAAACCGCCGTGTTGGTCTAAACTGGCAGCGCATATGATACCCAAATGACGCGCTCGAAAGCCGCAATCCAAACATACACCGTCGAGGGACCAAAGTGGCCCGTCTCCGTGCGTGCGACGCGAGCTGAAAGCGTGTTCAGGCCAGTCGTTTCCTTCCGCTTCGCTTCGCACACAGTGCAAGACGCACTGCTCTTGGTGTCTGCCAGAGCAGTGGTGACTCGACAGAGTCGCGCGGCCGACCGGTCGGCTGGACGCCGACTTACTAGAATCCGCATCACGCTGTGTTATGAGGGTTCTAGTAAGCAACAAGACCTGTTCTATCGCTGTAACAATTTTTGGAGACTGTCCCTCACATGCTGTCAAGCATCCTGAATGCAGTCAAAAGTGGACACCGGCAGTGCCTTTTTGTGTTGATATCCATTACTTTTATGTTCTATTTGTATTTCAAATGCCACACATGTGTCTCAAAATCATGACTTTAATATCATTTGTGTCAAATTAAATGTCATGAATATTAAAGGCACGCTCTGGTTATCCTTTTGATGCCGATACATGTTGTGCTAAAAATCTCTTTTTTCCTGAATACATGACAAACCTGCTGTCAATTTATGGCCGCCAAGATCAATCGGCTCAAGCGACTGAAAGTGGTTCACAGGATCTGATTCATTCGGCGTAAGTAAGCAACGAAAGCAGGTAGTTGGCCAGTCATGCATGTCACTGGCCAAGCATGTCAGGAATAAAGTGAGATTCTGGCCAAATATGAACCAGAATTAGCACAGTGCGCACCGCCAGTGGGGCCGCAGCAGTGTCCATCGCCTGAGCCGAGCCTGTTTGAGAACCCCACCTGTGCGTGGCGGCGGTCCGTCTGATGCTGCTGTTGGCCCGCCAGCGTCCGGCACGTGGACGGAGTTTGAGAACCCCGACCGTGAGAGGCTCAACACACTGCTGGACAACTACCGCGCGCTGGCCATGCTGGAGAAGGTGCAGAAAGAGCAGCGCAAGTACGGCCGGCAGGACACGTGAGTCAGGACTCGTGCACTCGCGATTCGCGGTGTCGAGCAGAATGACTCGTGTCGCGCGTGTGGGAACTTGTGCTGGGTAATAAGGGAGCGGCCCACGGTAATGAAAGGTGACACCTGTAGGGGCTCGTGATACCGATCATACGGCCGTCACGGCTGTGACGTCACGGTGGCACGCCGCTGAAAACATGTGGCACACGGCTGAGAGCTCACGACTCTTGGGTGCACTGGCGACTCTTGGGTGCACTCGCGGCTCTTTGGTGTAACACGGACTCTTGAGTGCACTCGCGACTGTTGGATGTTCTCATGACTCGTGGGTGTACTCTGACTCATGGGTGCGGCGTGCGAGTAGATTGTTATGACACGCGAATGGAAGCATCTCTTGAGGAATCGGGACTTGCGACACGCGAAGGAAGGACCAGGAGCGATGGTTGCACTGGATTTACTGGTCAAGCTCCTGGCGCTGTCGTGTTTCATTGGGGTCTCATGGTTGGTTCACGTGTGCTTAAAGTGTTTTACGTCGAATGACATTGGAATGGGCCTCTTGTGAGCGATGGTTTTGTGTTGGTGAGGTTTTCTGGTCGCATCATTTGTGCCTTGTTTGTGTTCTCTCTTTTTCGTAAGAATTGGAAGCATTATTAACTTCGCCTATGTTTCGCATTGTCGCTCGTGCGACACGTCGACATTTTTGAACCATGAGTCGTCCCTAGTCCTCCCTTGCGTTTGATAGTGAAGCGTACTGGAGGTACCTAACGCGTGCACTGTCTGTGTCCCGGCGCGGCCAGCGCGGACTATCGTCGACAGGCCATACTCTTGACTCACTCACCTCTCTTTCTGACCCGTGTCAGGAACCGGCGTTTTCTGGAGAGCAAGGGCAAGTTCGGCGTGCTGGCGCGGGCCACGCGCAAACAGGCCGGCCTCCCGCCGTCGCGCAGCCTGGCGCTAGCCAAGGTGAGGCGAGCCCCTCCTCCAGCCCCACCGCCCCACCGCTCCCTTGTCCCACCGCCCCACCACCCCGTATCCGCGAACGCTGGCGACCTGGGACCCTGGGGTTATCTTTTGAGTGCTAGGTTTGCAACATGTAGTGGATTGGTGCGTAACGGTTTAGTAGGGATTGTGGCCTTATTTTTACAATTATCTTTCCGGACTGCTCACGACGTCATAAAACTCAGGTTTGCAACATGTAGTGGATTGGTGCGTAACGGTTTAGTAGGGATTGTGGCCTTATTTTTACAATTATCTTTCCGGACTGCTCACGACGTCATAAAACTCAGATACGTAACTGGATGTAGCGTTGGGGAACCGCGATCAGTTTAAGTCAGCTGATAACCAAATTTAAGCGTAATTTGTTAAATTACATTGTCTGCGTAGCTGACCACAGCCTCGTGTAGCGGATATACCTCGCGGTTCTCACCGTGCTGTTTTTCCAGGCCGCACTTTTCGGCGGGGGAAATGTCCTCCCACAGACTCAGGCCTGAGCCCCACACAAACCATGTAGCTGCCTTTTGGTGTCCTGGGCGGGCGCAGTAGCGACAGGCGTGTCTTACCGAGGACACCTGTCCCCCCGACTGTAGGCAGCACATCGGAGACCTCTGTCTCGCATCGGCGATGTCACGCCCCTCTTGCGGCCCCCCTCAGTGAGAAGCAGGCGCAGGGGTGCGAGTGACGCGACCCCCCCCCCCCCCCCCAACACCTGGAAACCCAGCTTTAGCACGCTCAGACGCAGCGAGATGGGACTTGACTGACCCGAACGCGGCGGTGATGCTCGCTCCGCCCCGCTTGGACCGCTGCCTCCATCGGCAGGATATGGACGCCAAGACTATGCAGGCCCTGGAGGCCGAGCCGGCGGACGAGGCCGAATCGCTGCCCGAGGAGCTTCTCACCGAGCCACTTGTGCTGACATCTGGTGAGAGATGCGTGCACTGCAGTCGCGCGCCCGCCCGCCAGTCGGCCGGCGCGCCGCTATGCGGTGCTGTATGCGTAGGGTGCCTAGAGCCCAGAATCTGCACGAGACAGGCGGCTAAGCTGGAGGGTTATAACCGTGCCGATACCGTATATAATACCCTTTTAACCGTATATTTAACCGTATAACTGTGCCGAGTGCTAGATAAAATGTATTATCACCAACACTGGGAACCAAGAACATTGTTCGAACCTCACGAACCTCCCAACCAATGGGCTTCTTGCATCTGAGACCACTCGCGGCTTTTCCCTGTTTTTTTTTTTGTTGTGGGGAGTGGACCCCTTGTTTATTCGTCACATTGAACACAGCTTTGAAATGTCGAGCATTGACAATATAACCAATGTTTCCATGACATACCTGGACCTATCGGCACATTGAAGGTCGATAACTGCCGGCGTAAAAACTCGTGAATTCATGATGTGCTGAAAGCCTTCCGTCCGTCACGTGCTCTGCACCGCATAATGTGACTTGTGGGTGCGGCCGTGCTGTGTGCGGCGCGACTGACGGCCGCCCTCTGGCCGTGCTGTGTGTGGCCCTACTGACGGCCGCCCTCAGACCGTACTGTGTGCGGCCCTACTGACGGCCGCCCTCTGACCGTGCTGTGTGCGGCGCGACTGACGGCCGCTCTCTGGCCGTGCTGCGTGTGGCCCTACTGACGGCCGCCTTCTGGCCGCGCTGTGTGCGGCCCACTGACGGCCGCCCTCTCGCCGTGATGTGTGCGGCCCGACTGACGGCCGCCCTCTGACCGTACTGTGTGCGGCCCGACTGACGGCCGCCCTCTGACCGTACTGTGTGCGGCCCGACTGACGGCCGCCCTCTGACCGTACTGTGTGCGGCCCTACTGACGGCCGCCCTTTGACCGTACTGTGTGCGGCCCTACTGACGGCCGCCTTCTGGCCGCGCTGTGTGCGGCCCGACTGACGGCCGCCCTCTGACCGTGCTGTGTGCGGCCCTACTGACGGCCGCCCCCTGACCGTGCTGTGTGCGGCCCGACTGACGGCCGCCCTCTGACCGTGCTGTGTGCGGCCCTGCTGACGGCCGCCCTCTGACCGTACTGTGTGCGGCCCTGCTGACGGCCGCCCTCTGACCGTGCTGTGTGCGGCCCGACTGACGGCCGCCCTCTGACCGTGCTGTGTGCGGCCCTACTGACGGCCGCCCTCTGACCGTGCTGTGTGTGGCCCGACTGACGGCCGCCTTCTCTGGCCGCCAGCGACGACGCTCGACCAGCGGCTGGCCTTCCCCGAGTTCCAGACGCCCCGGCACGACCTGCTCCAGCCGCAGCACAAGCACGCCGAGCTTAAGCGCTCCATGCGCTGCCGCTACTGCGACCACAACCTCAGCAAGCCCGAGTACAGCGCCATCAGCGTCAAGTTCAGGATCCAGCTGAACGCTTAGTGAGTCGGCGGCGTCCGATGGCGCCTCACGCCCGCCCCCCCCCCCCCCCGGCTGTGATGACGTCACACCGTGTGTGGAGCTGAGGCAGCATCGCCTGGGATGCTGTCAGTTGTGCTGTGGGACGGTGCAGCGTGCCGGGCTGTGGTGTGGCGCAGTGGCGATGGATCGGATGTACGGGCGTTCCACCTGCTTGGCTAATGAACACCCATTGGCCTGATGCAGTGTTGTGTGACGTGTAGTGATTGTGTTTCAAGCCATCGTTTTGTGACTTGTCACGTTGACATGCGCCATGCGGTCGGAACCGACTGATGTAGCACGGAGGTGACGACGGAGGTCGCAGACACGAATACCTTCTGTGCCAGCTGGCTTGTGGCGTGCCGTACGCCATAGGGGGCGGTTGAGTGTGGAGGCCCCGGCCTGCCGGTCCGGTAACGCGGGTGTCCCGGCCGCGCGGGGCCGTGTCGTGACGTCAGCTTCCCTGCCCGGCAGCTACCACGTGCCGGACGTCAAGATCCTGTCAGTGGGCGAGCTGGTGCCTGGTCAGGAGACGGAGGCGGTGCTGACGCTCTGCAACCCCACCAGCCACCCGGTCAGTGGGTCGTCCGGGGCTGACTCCCCCCCCTCCCCCCCCCCCATCTCCATCTCTCCCCAGACCAACCCCATCAGCCACCCGATCAGTGGGCCCGTCGGGGCTGCCCCCCCCCCCCCCCTCCACCCCAGACCCACCCCATCAGCCACCCGGTCAGTGGGTCGTCCGGGGCTGACTCCCCCCCTCCCCCCCCCCCATCTCCATCTCTCCCCAGACCAACCCCATCAGCCACCCGATCAGTGGGCCCGTCGGGGCTGCCCCCCCCCCCCCTCCACCCCAGACCCACCCCATCAGCCACCCGGTCAGTGGGTCGTCCGGGGCTGACTCCCCCCCCTCCCCCCCCCCATCTCCATCTCTCCCCAGACCAACCCCATCAACCACCCGATCAGTGGGCCCGTCGGGGCTGCCCCCCCCCCCCCCACCCCAGACCCACCCCATCAGCCGTCCGGTCAGTGGGTCGTCCGGGGCCAATCCCCCCCCCCCATCTCTCCCCAGACCAACCCCACCAGCCACCCGGTCAGTGGGCCGTCCGGGGCTAATCCCCTCCCCCCCCCCCCACCCATCTCCCTCCAGACCAACCCCACCAGCCACCTGGTCAGTGGGCCATCCAGGGCTAATCCCCCCCCCCCCACCCATCTCTCCCGAGACCCACCCCATCAGCCACCTGGTCAGTGGGCCGTCCGGGGCTAATCCCCCCCCCCCGCCCATCTCTCCCCAGACCCACCCCATCAGCCACCCGGTTAGTGGGCCATCCGGGGCTAATCCCCCCCCCCCCCCACCCATCTCTCCTCAGACCAACCCCATCAGCCACCCGGTCAGTGGACCCGTTGGGGCTGCCCCCCCCCCCCCCTCCCCCTATCCCTCCCCACCAGACCTCGGTGCTGAGTCACGAGGCCGGGGAGCGGGACGCTGAGTTCGACCCCTGGCAAGCGCGCGTTGTGTTGGGAGATGCGTTCAGCGTGGTGGGTCCGGCGGGCTGGAGGTGGTGCGCCGGTGGCTGGTCAGGGGTGGGGGGTAACGAGGACGCGCGAGCTGACCTCTTCGATCAGCTGCGTCGTTGCCAGTGGACCATCCATGTTCGTTATGTCTGACTGGAGGCGTGCTCTCGCCTGCTTTCCCAGCACTCCGAGCTGATTCGCAGGCTTCTCTGTTGGCCTCAGACATGTGTGCAGTCGGAGACGTGTTCTGCCATTTCGCTGCAGTCGGAGACGTGACCCGCCATTTCGCTCTCATTCTTCTTCAGTTTGTTCCGTCACTATACTCCGTGTGCTCACTGCAGTTCCTGATCCCAAGATCAAGCCCACAGAAATTGCGGTCAAGTGTATGCAACCAACCGCGAGAGATAAAACTTGCTGACGGTCGGGCGCATCTGGATCCACAGATGGCGATCCGTCTGGAGACGTATCGGGATCCGGACGAGGAGGAGCTGCGGGAGGATCCGGACCCGGAACACAAGGAATCGTCTCTGCTGCGACCGGTCACCCTGAAAAGGTCAGGAGAGCGGATGAGAGCGGTGTGAAGGTCAGGAGAGCGATGTATAGGTCAGGAGAGCGATGAGAAGGTCAGGAGATTGGTGTGAAGGCCAGGGAATTGGTGTGCAGGCCAGAAGAACGGTGTGAGGGCCAGGAGAACAGTATGAAGGTCAGGAGAGCAGTGTGAAGGTAGGAGATGGGTGTGAAGGTCAGGAGAGCGATGTGAAGGTCAGGAGAACGGTGTAAAGGCCAGGAAAGCAATGCGAAGGTCATGAAAGCGGTGTGAAGGCTAGGAGAATGGTGTAAAGGTCAGGAGAGAAACATGAAGGTCAGGAGAGCGGTGTGAAGGTGGGAGATAGGTGTGATGGTCAGGAGAGCAATGTGAAGGTCAGGAGAGCCCACTGGTGAGGTGTTCGAGCCTGGGCTGTCCCATCATGGTTTGCGTGCGTGAGTGGGCGCAACACCATTATACATTGATGGGAGGGGAAATGCGCGCCGTAAACGGTCGTTGGCGGGGTTTTCTTTACTGCCTGATCCACTATGCTCCTGCAAAGTATCGCTCTTGCGTTGCGGTAAAGCTTTTTACATCCAACTTGGCTCGTAAAGGCGGTGCCGGGCGATAGCTTGGTTACCACTCGACATTCACCATGCCTTAGCATGCATCACATGAATGTCGGGGCAGACTGGAGCCAGGCGTGTACGGGCAGAGGTGCCCTTGGCCTGTGACCTCCGTGGCATGGTGATTTGACCTTGACCTGTGACCTCCGTGGCAGGGTGGAGCCGAACATAGTCCAGACGGCGGAGCTGACGCTGCCGGAGGCCGAGATCGTGCTGGCTCCGCGGGACGACTCTGCCGAGTTTGACGAGGCGCCCACGTCGTCTGAATTCAGAGACGACCCCAGGTCAGGACATGCACGGCGCCAGATTAAGGTGTCATGCTGAGCCGGTTCAGGAGTTCAGATGACTGGAGAGCCACCCATCGCATTATATAATGAGTTAATGGGTGATTTAATTATTGTTCAATCGGCTGTTGTAAAATTCAGGCCGTGCTGCTTGCGCATCGAAACGGGTGCATGTGAGTTTGCCGCACAGTTCAGTGTGAGAAGTGCTTGTCTGAGCCCTGCTGGCTGATTGTGTCCATCAGTAAATAACCGCATGCTCGCTAGTGAGCATGCTCAGCAACGTACGGCTCGAAAACGCGTGGCTGCAATGCATAACACGCAGCGGTGCGATGTGAAGGCTATGGGACGCTTCACCGTTCGGGGTCCCCCCCCCCCCCCCCCTAACAGCAATATGAAGCGTACAATTGTACCGCAGTGGATCGTGACGGAAAATACAGCTGCCTGTCTTCGTCGTTAGTAAGAGACGTGGTGAGGGCTTTAGAATCTTGGTGCCTTAACAGTACATCGCAGTGAGTCGTTTTCAGCGCAAAATGTGTGGCGTGTGTGGCGGTGACGGTGTGGCTGATGGGCTGGCCGGGCGGGCCGGCGCCCCAGCTCCGCGACTGACGCCGCCGTCGGCCCTCCTCAGCGTGGTGGTGTGGCGCCAGGCCAACAAGGTAGCGGTGCGTCTGGCCGTGCGGCCGCTCCCCGCCGCCGGCGCCGGCCGCGCCACGGCCGCGCTCCTGCTCCACTACCGCTACACCAACACCATCGTCACGGCCGAGGCCAAGCTGCCGCAGACGCTGCAGCTGCGCGCGCGCCTCATGGTCGATTTCGGAGACGTTCACGCTTCCGAGTCGCACTGCTAGGGCGGCTTTGCGGTCGGCCGGGGTTCGGTGTCCGCTGCCGGGTCCGGCCGCCAAGTTCGGTGACGTCACACGTGTCGGCGGTGCCTCCGTAACGTCACACGTGCCGGCAGTCCCACTGCTCGCTGGTGTTGGCATCTGCTCTGCTATTTGTGAGGGTTCTAAGTTGTATGGCTGCACTCCAGCCACTGAGCCTGGCTCCTCGGTGCGTTGACATCACTTAGTGGCATGCTCCGGCTCCGCAAAGCCGCTGACACGCTGCGGGGTGACGGGCGGTGTAATATCGCGCACCAGTCTGGTTAAGTCTATCGTCTGGCAAGTTGGCAGCAGCTGCAAAGGCTAATCGTAAGCAGTGTGTCACACAGTATCTTGGTGTGCTTTCTGCAATGTGGGCTTTTGTCTCTGGGGGCAATAACACTTTGTAGTGAACAGCTAATATTTTTAATGCGTTCTTGTAGCCGTGTTGTACTATTTTCGTAACGAAAACTTGCAGTTCCAGCTCTGCTATGAATCCTTCCAACCGATTTGAAAAAGATAGGCACTGAGAAATGTTAAATGGGCCTAAACTAGTGAAACGTCATCCAACGCCTTGTTTGCATGCTCAGGATGACCCTGGTATTTAGTCTGTCATTTTTTGCTTTAACAGGGTTCGTTGGACGTTGTCCCGTCCACTCAAATCTGTCGTTGTTTCCGTGGCGCTACTGGCCTGTATAAAGGTAAGCTATGCTCTAAATTACTGCTTCTTGCGGTTTGTGTCTGCTGTCACCAGTTCAGCTTTGTATGCGGTTCGCCACGTGTTGTTATCGGTACACTCGGATATGAAGGTGGGTAATTTTAATGAGATCAGCGGCGGCTCCTTCCGACGTGTTCCTGGCCGATATGGCACGCCCTTTTCACCTCGTGGAGTGCAGTGCTGTGTGAGTCTCGTTCAGACCGACCGCTAATATTTCGCCCGGGACTTTCTGCCCCTCTTTTCGAACAACGGCCCCTGCTGCTTTGGCGACTGACACCGCACAATGTAAACTTAGATGGCTGCACTGATACCAATATATAACGGCACTTAGAATAGATGGACCGGGCGGAATCCACTTTGACGCGGAGCCATGCACTGCTCTATCTCCAGTCGCACAGTGTAGTCGTCCGTGCCTGTACGCGTGTTCACGGCGCGTAGTGCTCTGCCGGCCGTGCTGGCTTGCGGTGCGTGTTCTAGCCAGCTGGTGTTCCTCCGAGACATCACAAGGCTCCGTGACACACTGTTGCTGTGATGTTTGCATTGTTGGTGGCCTGCGGCCAGCTGTCACGGACCAATGAGCGTTCGGTTGCGATGCTGCAAAGTCCGCCAGTTGGTCGGCGGCCAGCTGTCACGGACCAATGAGCGTTCGGTTGCGGCGCAGTAGAATCCGCTAATTGGTTGACGGCGGTCACGGCCCAGTAGTAGGGCTCTTGTCTTCCTTGCCTGTTTTCTAGCAATGACACTGGTCCGTTTGGTTTGTGATAACTTTTCTGTGGGCGGACTGACGAGTAATGCCGGGTTACGTTGGGCTATAGTTATTCCCTGTAAGACGGTATGAGAATCCCGCATGTCGGCCTAGGCACTTGCAGTGTTGTTGCTTGCTAACGATACATGGTGTGTCATGTGTGCTTCAATAGCCTCAATACACGCATTAATTGCCTGTGCTATGACTGAGGCTACCTTTGGCCTGATGGTGACCACATGCATCCTGTAAGTCGGTGTAAGATTCAAGACCTCAGATTTGAGTCATCGCCATATAGGCATGTACCATTGGCTCGCCTATTTCTGACTTCAGACTGAGCTGGAAACGGGGTCCACACACACATACAGGCACCATCTTTGTGGGGCATATGTATGGAGTTGCAGCATAGGTAATGTCCTTGTCGTACGCATGTGTTGAGCATAATATTTTGTTTGTGCTGGAACAGTTATGCAAGATTTTAGCTAAAGCATGAGCTTAGGGAGGGGGAGGATGCAATGTTTTTTTTTTCAATCTAGCGCTATCGCGCCTCTGAATAGGAACCAGCAACCCTATAATAATTTGTGCCATCAGTCCAGATTATTTTCGTTGCAGTTGTGCCCCGCCTACCACACCAATTGCAGCCCGGCAGAAGGAAGGTCATTGGCTGCGAAGCAGCGCCAGCACTCCGCACTCAGGAAGAGAAAAATGGACTAACAAGATAGTTTATGCTTACTGTGGTACACGTTGAACCAGCACGGCCGCCTATTGCCTCGCAGCAAATTTAATCAAAATAACAACGCAACTGTCACAGTTTTTTGTCTGCGTTACAAAAGACATGATGTAATGACATTTGACATAATGACAATGACATGCGTAATGACATTTTCACATGTTCACCTGCCTTTTCCAAGACTCAGCAAACTTCGGGCAAGTTCGCCGATCAATCCGCAAAGGATCGGAAAATTCGCCATTGTTAGGATTTCGACAAAATACTGCGGAATACAGAACACTCCCGTCGGGGCTGTGCTCATTGTGGCATTAACCATCACGCAAGCGTGTTTCCCGATTTATTGTTTCTTTTCACCATCCTTTGTTCATCTTTATTCTGCCCCAGTTCGCTTGCAGATTGGCTAAAGGCAATGGGCTGCATTAAGCTTTTCACACCGCGATGACAGGATACCGTTCGATTTCCCAGGGAGGGGCGGGGGGAGGGCGACCACCGCCGACGCCAAGTTGTTTCACAGCTGAGATGTGAATCCGTGGGTGGAGGCATAGAGGCGTGATGCAATGCCTGGATAAATCAAATGTTTACGTTCGAGAAGGAGCGCAGCGAAGTAAGCGTGCAAATTGACACGCGCCGGCCGGCCGGTTGGATGCCCTTCGCTCGGGTGGGGGTCGATTTGACCCACGTATGGTCACATTGGTCACAGGTCACTTGAATAAGCATGTGACCCCCACAAGATCACATGCTCGAAATCGGATCTCGTGGCTGAATAAAACACTGAATAAATCGCTAACTTTACGGACATAGGGTGCGGCGGCACAGCGTACAGGTCTCTGTCTCCTACCTTTGACAAAGGAGGGCGAGGTATGAGGCCAATATCCTTGGCTCAGTGAATCATTTGCGCCAGTGCCTTTGTTGGCGCGGTGTCATTTCTATGCTATGGACATGTGAAAGCATGGCACCTTCTACCATGTGGTAGTTCGCAAGATTTTCTGTGTTAAATGGAAACCTAATGGCAGATCGTCGAAACGCATGCAGTGCTTCCCTGTTTACTGAATACCGCATAATAATATTTAATTGTGGGCGGGCTAATTCAGCAGGTACTATCCGCAGGCAACTCTTCCACATTTGTGTGAGGTTTTGACCTGAAATAACCATTTTGGAAATCATCCAGTGTAGTTCGCAGCCATGCCCTCCTTAGGGCCCTCCTGTTTCTGATCTTGACGCCCGCGTACTTCTGCAATTATCTCAAGGTCACCGAGGTCAAGGTCCGACGGTCAAGGTCACGACGCTCTACATACGCCACGCGAATGTGGCCTCTTAAATGACCTTGCAGTTCTCAAGATTACGAAAACTACGATCATCCAGTTAGTCGTGTATGGCGTACGCGAGCACGATTCGTTGCATCGACGGACATCAATAAGCCTTGAACCGAGTGCATTGAATGTAACCTTTGTGCATGATTTGGGTAATTGACTATTTGGATTAGAGCCCTTTCGGCCAGTGACGACCATTTCTGGGCTATGGGATGGAGGGGTATGGATAACGGTGGAGCAGAGCTACACGCACCTGAGGGCCCAACCGACAGGACTAGGCCCACGCAGTGACCCCTCTGCGGGGTCTGCGCTTGGCGCTCTAACGCTGGCTCCACAAGGAGGCCCGTCCATCTACCCGCGGCTGGCATTAGCATTTGGCATTTGCATGCGTTGTGTAGAAATTGCCCCGCACATTTTCATGACGAGAGTAAGCCGCGCAGCCCTCCCAGCGGTCCGCGATCAAGAATACCTCCGGCGCTTGCCACCCCTCGTTTTCCGCTCTGTACTGCGTTCGCCGTAACTAAACGTCATCGCCACAGTTGCGCGAGGCGCGTGTTCCGCCCCCGGTTACCGAGCTCAGTGTGGGCTGTACTCGAGCCGACCCGTGGCCGGGCCGCGACCAACAGCACTCGCCGAGCGTCGCACCCTCCATTCCGGACCTGCCGCCCACAGAACGGCTAAAGAAGTGCTGTCAGACATAAGCTTACACGTCTTGTGGCGCCATGCTCCCTATTTCGGTCGTCGAACGCATTATTGACGCTAGACGTCTGAAAGAGCAGGACCTTGCGCGGATCCTACACAAATCAGCCATTTGGCAGTTCGGTCCCACAGTCCCTCGGCATTCGGTGAGCGTCCATTCCATCACCACTAAAACACAGTTTGATTTTATTTTTTATATTAAAATATCCTTTGTTTTATCATATAAAGCGGGTATCGATTGCTCGACGCCCGGCAGCACGAGCGTGGCCCGGCTCGGGCCGGCGCTCGCCCACTGAGTCGGCGCGCGCGCGCCCACGTGCAGTGCCGCCTGCCCTCCGCCATATGACCACCATCATTACACCTATCTTTAAATAACGCGCCGCCGCCCGGGCGCGCGGGGAGCCGGCGCGCTCCTGCGCCGCTCGCCGGGCGGCGGCGGCAGTGCAGCGTCCCGCCCCTCCCGTCCCATTAGGCTAATGTGGCGCGGCGCGGCGCGGCGGCCATCACACGCGCGGCTCCTCCTCGCCGGCCGCGTCCAGCGCCTGGAAGAAGGCGCGCATCGAGGCGGCCACCACGCCCTCGCCCTCGGGGTCGGCCGAGTCGCGCCAGCGCCGGAACGCCGCCTCCGGCACCGCTTCAAGGTCGTGTAGCTGCCTTAGCAGCTGGTCCAGCAGGCCTGCGGCCACGGGAGGGGTGTCACACGGGTACGGGGCGGAGCAGGAACGGGAGCGCGGGACACGACGCAAGAGGCGGAGACCGGGGGACACGGCGCAAGAGGACGAGACGGGGAGACACGGCACAAGAGGAGACGAGGAGACGCTGCGCAAGAGGGGGAGACGGGGGGCACGGTGTTAGAGGCGGAGACCGGGGGACACGGCGCAAGAGGTGGAGACGGAGGGGGGGGGGGGGGCACCGTGTTGGGGGCGGAGGCAGACAGGAACAGCATGTTAAATACAAAACGCTGGAGGGTTTGTTGGATGGATGATTGCGGGAATACGTATAAGTCTTACGCTATGTCACTGTCACCCCGCTGATCGCAATGACTCGCCCATATTAAAACAGCAACTATCGTTTCTCCTTTGTTACATCATGGATAAGTGAAATAGCATAGTGTTTTGGGATAAGTTCCGGCAGAAAAAAAATGGCATAGGCCAGGACATAACGACTGCAGACGAGCAAGAATCACACTACAAACTGGCGAAACCCAGGCATGACTCCGGGACACGCCCGGGAACTATCACGGGAAAGACATCACGCCTCGATGCCGCCCGTCTCTCGGTGAAAGCCTGAACAACACACTAGAAGCGTGCCCCCTGAAAAGTAGCGTCCATATAGACACGAGAATGCACGGGTCACACACAACAACCACGAGCAAAAGAAAGTACACGTCGTTGAGGCCAGACTGCAAAAATGCGAATGCAATTCCCGAAGCTGGCCGTTCGTCTTGAAACAGCCTGCGGAAGCCAAACCCAGACGCCTAGCCACGCCCGCCACCAGCGCCGCCTCTCGGCCGCTCATGCAGCGACGGCGCGTACCTGTCGGGAAGCCGAGGTGCTCGGCCAGCGTCTGCACACTGTTGACGGCGGTTAGCTCGCGGTCGGCCGTGTCCAGCTCGGCGCGCAGCAGCTCGGCGAACCGCTCCAGACGGGACGCCGACACGCGCAGCGCGCCACCCTCTGCGGCACCACGCCCACAGGGTCAGGCGGGCGGGGGGGGGGGGAGCCCGGTGGGGACACCCCGTCAGGGCGGGGCTAACACCAGTGCGAGCACAGACGGCACCAGAGCACGGAAGAGCCGAAGCCAGGACGAGCAGTGGCGCACATCGCACGGTCCCGGGACGGATACAGCAGTGCGTCAGGGGAACATGCCCGAGATTGTCACGTGAGTTTTCCCACACGAGGCAACACATCTGGGGCTGATACACCTACAGCAGGTTCGCCACAGGGTTCACTGGTAATTGGGCCGGTTAGCACTGCGCCACAGGTCCAGATTCAGATGTGTTCGTCAAGGAATGATGGAGAACCACCAAACTGAAATTTGACCGTTGTCGGTGAGATGCTGGCGTGGGTACGATCAGTGATGATAGCAGTAGTTGTCCCCGTTGAGTGTCGTTCTATACCCCACTATTTTTCATTATGCCCGGCACGATGGAAATGGGCGCACATTGACTAAATTGTTGGTTGTCTTCCCTGACCTGCCCACATTTCCCCCCTCCTCACTTTGATTGCCGCGGCGGGAATCCAACGACAACAGAACCCATTCACCACGCCGGCCCTCCCCACTTGGGCGCCGCCGAGCCCTCACCTATCACAATGGCGTTGAAGGCGATGGCCGAGACGAGGTCGGTGACGAAGCCCGGGTTGCGGCGGTCCTCCGAACTGCAGTTGGCCTCCAGCCAGCGGGCCAGCTCGCCGTCGGCGCGGATGGCCGAGAGCAGCGCGCGCAGGCCCCGCCTCTTGGGCGCCTGCTCGGGCGGCAGCGGCTGGCCGTCGGGCGACAGCAGCACCTCCAGCTGCGCCTGCCGCCGCACAGCGGTGTTGTCAGAGGCCGCGACGGCCATGGGCGGATACGCAGACGGCGGCGAGCAGGAGCCGGCCGGCGCAGGCTGGGCAAATACGAGCGACAGCCCAGCTGACCAGCGGACGGGAGGCGTGGGATGAGCCGTCGACCTACAACAGTCCCACGCACTACGCGCCAGCCCCCAGGTGTAGCACAGGCTGGTCATGTCCAGGCAACCCGGATCAGCGGTCAATGGCGAGCCAGCCTCTTCCACCACGCATAGCAGAGCTGATTTGTAGCGCTCTGCCCAGTCTGATCACCCTACCAGACCCCTCCTCCTTTAGGAATGCGGCCCTCGGGCCCCTGACAACACGTGTGCCAGGGGTGGCGTCTGATAAGCTGGGCTGCCAGACCCGTGAAGAGAGGCGCCTCCCGAGCCGAGCTCTGCTGCGCCACACCGCAGTCCGCCGCGACCGGCGGCGTCGCGCGCGTCGCCGCTCACCTCCTTCAGGGCGCGCGCCGGGTCCTCCTCGCCGAAGAACAGCGCCCAGTCCAAGTCGTGCGGCACGAGCGCGCGCAGCCGCTCGTCGCCGACCAGCGTCTGCAGGCGGCGCAGCAGCGCCAGCAGCAGGCGCGCGCCGCCGCCGGCGCGCACGCACTCGGCGGCGGCGGCAGCCAGGCCGGTCAGCGGCACGCGGCCGGGCCGCGCCAGCAGCGCCGGCGCCAGTAGCTGCGCCAGGTTCGTCCAGATGGCCGGCACGTCCGTGGCCAGGTCGACAGCGGCGTCGAGCACGTCGCCAGCGCCGGCCAGGTAGATGGCGGGCGTGAGCAGGCCACGCTCCAGCAGCAGGCGGTGCAGCTGGCCGGCCGCGTGGCGCTGCTCCGAGGAGCGGGCGTCCACGAACACGTCCAGGCACTGGGCCACGAATGTGGACAGCGTGGCCTCGTGCAGGTGCGTCTCGCAATCCTCCATGCTCGCCTGAGTGTGGGGACGGATGGGGTCAGTGCACGGCTGCCGGAAGAGAGATGAGGGAGAGGTTGCACACTGATTAATGCAGAGATAGCGGGTATGGTCCACACTACACTCCCACGTCGAATGGCGTCTTAAGCGGTCCAAGTACCGCTCATGAGACCTGGTGGTAGCTCCCAACACACTAGTCATAGAAGTAACACAATATCTTGCCAACCTGCAATACAAAACTATAAATTATAACGAAAGACACTGCAAATGGACACCGTCATGGTGGACACCACCACACCTCCGGTCCGACCGCACCGGCAGCAGCCTGCCGTCCCTCACCTCGATATCTCCGTTCTCGAGGAACTCGCCGACGATGGCGCGCGCCTGGCGCTTCATGTCGTCAGCGGTGGCGTCGGCCGGCCCGGTCAGCCGCGAGGCAGGCGGCGGCGGCCGCTCGCCAGAGCTGCCGCGGCTGTTGTCGCGCTCGCCGGAGCTGCCGCGGCTGGCGGCGTCGGTGGCGCGGCCCGCCGACGGCGCGCGCCCCTCGCCGCGCAGCAGCTGGAACCGATTGGCGGCGGGCGCCGCGGGTGCGGCGCGCGCCGGCCCCACCTTGGAGCCCATCGACCAGGAGCCGCCGCCGCCGCCGGGGCCGAGCTTCATCTGGGAGCCGAGCGGCGGCGCGGCGCCGCCGCTGAGCACGTTCATCATGCGGCTGGCGTCGTAGCGGGAGCGTCCGGCCGTGCTCCAGCCGTCGGCGGCCGGCCCGGAGCCGCGCGGGCCGTCGCGGCCGCCGCCGCCGCGGCGCCGGTCGCTCCGCCGCCGGTCCTCGGCCTGCGCCAGCGCCACCTGCTGCTCGGCCGCCTGTCGACGCGCCTGTTCGTGCACCTCCTCGATGGTCATGGGCCGCGGCTGGCCGGCGGCGCGCGTGCTGACCCAGCTGTTGGCGCGCAGCTCGATCAGGTCCTGCAGCATGAAGCGCACACGCGAAGAGAGCGCCTTGTCCGTGGACAGCCGCCGGAACTCGTCGAACTGCGGGCTCAGGTTCTTGCCGCGCGTCTGCTCGGCCTTCTCCAGCTTCTGGCCGATGGTGGTGACCAGCTTGGTCAGGCACTCGTACGAGTCCTCGTGCTTGTCGTGCAGCAGCTTGACGATGCACTGCTGCATGATGCGGTCCGTCAGCATGCCCAGCTTGTAGAGCTCGCCGATGAAGCGGATGTTGCCGTTGGAGCGCAGGCGCACGCGGCGCTCCTCCTCGGCCAGCGCGTGCGCCTTCTCGCGCCGCAGCGCCGGGTCCGTCTGAGCCTCGATCTCCAGCTGTCGCGCCTCCCGGTTCACGCCCAGCGACTTGTCCTTCTCAAACTCCTCCTGGCACTTGGTGAGCAGCAGCTTGCGGAACGTGACGGGCTTCCCTTCCTTGGCGTCGACGTCCACCTGCGGCGGACCACCCGGCGTCAGTCGACGGACGGGCAGCTGGCTCGCGACGGTCCACGCGGCACACGGCAGGCGTCAAAGAAAGCGGTGATGACCGCCCAGGAGCAGCACAACTTTATGTCAGGATTCGCGTCCACGTGAACCAGCTGCTGAACGCTGTAGGCCCGTTAAAATATGCCTCTACGCCGGCCATATAACTGAGGTCGCTTCCAGCAGCTGGTCTGTGCTAATAACGTGCTGGACAAAACTAAGTATTAATGTTTCTCAAGCACCCCAAAATCTTCACCTGCTACACCGGCTGCATAACCGATTATGGATCCCTCTGCTTCACACACACACATGCACGCACGCACGCACGCACGCATACACACCCACACCCACACACACACCACGGCCACCACATCGGGCGCAAGCCGAAACTCGGCGTCCCGTCCGCTCACCTCGAACTTGGCCATGGCCACGCAGACGGTGGCGTACTGGCTGGCGTACGCCGGCTCGTCCACCGCCTTGTCGAACAGCACGTTGATCATGTTGGCGAGTCGCTCCTTGCCCTTCACCTCCAGCTTTCTGATGTTCTCGATCTGGCGTTCGATGTTGCTGGGCGTGATCTTGTTGAGGATGCCCTTGAGCGCGCGGATGATAGCCATCTCGGCGTCGGCCTCGTCGACCGTGTCGGCCGCCGCCTTGGACGGCTTCCACGCGTTGTCGGTGGTGCGCAGCTTGACGTCGCGGTTCAGGCTGATCTCGATGCGGCGCGGCGGCGGCGGCCCCTGCTGCGGCGTGTCGCGACGGCCCTGGCCCGAGCCGCGGCCGCGGTACTGCCGGCCGGAGGGTCGGTCAGAGGTCGGGTCGGGCCGGGCCGCAGTCGCACGGCACCGGACAGCAGTCACAGAGCGCCCGCCGACAGGGTGCAGCGGGCCGACACGCCGACAGCCATCGTGAGCACGGGCGAGGCCGCGCCGCATACAGACGTCAACTCCAGCCAACGCTCAAGCACAGACAGACAGGCACAGTGATCAACATTGGGACACGGCCAAAACAAGCAGGGCCTGGACCTTGCACACCTCAACAGTGAACAGACGTGACTGCTCCCCCCCCCCTTCCTCTCGGATATTTTTGTTGTTTATTGCCGTCTCCGGGCGCGTCGACTGCAATGGTCATTTTGCGCCAAAGGATACACGCCCACGCCCACATTTTGTGCTCTAGCATACAGCCAGCCAAAGGCAACCAGCCCGAACGCGGCTACTGTTAGGCGGCGTAGGGGCGGACGGCCAGAGCTTTATTTAAACAGGCAGCCGCACTGTCGCCGGCAGCACGGCGGCGCTCCCGCGACACGGACGGCACCGGCTCCTCGCGGCACCTCATACCGCACGCCATCACGCACCCCACACCCATCCGCGCGACCGCACCCCATCGCACCTTGCCGGGCGGTCCGACGGCCGGCTTGAAGCCGGACAAGAACTCGGTGTTGCCGCCCATGCTGCGCGACTTGAAGGCGGCCATGGCGGCGCGCGGGTCGGGCGGCGCCGACCGGTCCCTGCGCACGATCGACGGCAGGTCGGGCAGCGCCGCCGGCCGCCGCTGCGATAGCGGGCAGTGCTGCAGCCGCAGCAGGTCCTCGCGGCCGTACTGCGTCTTGCCTGACAGCGAGACCAGGTCGGCTGCCGGGGAGGCGGCGGTTAAGGCGGCGAGAGCCCAGGCGCGCGGGAGTACCGGCGCACGGACGGGCACACGGGCGCGAGGACAGAGCGTACGCGTTCCAGACAGTGGTGGCTATCGGAACGCTGGCTTATGACATGACAGATAGCCGGCAAACGTTGGTGAAGACGAGAATCAACGTACAGATAACCCATCTACACAAGGTTCATGGGTCACGCTTGTTCCACGCCTTACATCCATGTGTCTGTCCAACTGAAAAGATACTGACAGTGGAAACGAAACGCCACTCAAACACTACATTACGGACAAGCCCTCGCGACCCGCGGCGTTTGAACTACGTGCCGATATTGCAGACGATCGCCGTCACCACCCGCCCCGCGTACGCCGATGTACCGCGGCCCTGACGCAGCCGCTGCCACCGGCCGTGTGCTGCCCACCTCTGATGCCGTCCATGTGAGTCGGTGGCCGGCCGGCGGGCGGCGTCTCCCTCTCAGCGTCACCGTTGACGACGGGCGGCGCCTCGGGCGTGCCGGCGGCGTCTGCGCCGACCGTGCCGTTCCGCGCGCCCGCCTCCGGCGGTGGCGGCGTGCCGTCGCCGGCCGGCGCGGCGCCCGGGCGCGCCAGGCGCCAGTTCAGAGCCGTGGCAGGCGGCGCGGCGGCGGGCGCCGGCCGCGCCTGCCGCCAATCCAGCGGCCCGCCAGGCGGCGTAGCGGCAGCGGGCGCCTCCCGGGCCGCTGTCGGCAGCTCCCCAGGCGCCGTAGCTGACGGTGCGGTGGCGGCGGGGTCCGCCGCGGCCGCCTCCTCCTCGACTGTCTGATCCTCCGGAGTGGGCGCGGCGGAGGGGCACGGTGGCTCGGCGGTCGACTCGGCTTCCGCTGCAGGGCAAGGCTCCTCAGCGGCGGGCTCCGCCGCCTGCGGTGAGGCGCTCGCCTCCACACTGTTCACGATTGAAGGCGTGTCCGACGTAGCTGCGGCCGGCTCGGAGGGCACTGATGCGGCAGCTGACTTCGTCACAGCAGCCGCCGGAGCCGGCGGCGTCTCTGCAGGTGGCTGCGCCGCCTCCACCTCGACAATAGCTGCAGCTGGCTTTGGGTCAGCACTGGCAAGGGCTGGCTGCACATCTGCGACCGCCGGGGCGGACTCCGCGGCTGCTGCAGCGGGCTTCACCTCCTTGATCACTTGAGCAGATTTCACGCCATCGTCCACGACAGCCGGCTGCGCGTCGTCAACGTCAGCGACAGCTGGCCCCCGGTCCTCCACAAGAGGCTCAGGCTCCTCCTCCACGGCAGGCGGCGACGCTTGAGTCACCTCCGCCGCAGACGGCACGGCCACAGGCTTCAGCTCTGCAACCGGCGGCGCCGGGTTTACAGGGACAACGGCCGCTTTACCAGGTATCTCTGTTGCGTTAGGCTTTACTGTCACAGACGGAGCGGTGGCGGGCGCACCGGCCGCAGTGGCAGCAGCTGATTGTTCGTCTGCGGCCGCGTTGAGAGTCGGCTTTGTTTCCTCGACGACAGCTGTCGGCTTTACTTCCTCGATGGCAGTCGCTAGCTCCATTTCCTCTACAGTAGCCCTCGGCTTCACTTCTCCTAAATCGATGCTCGGCTTCGCTTCCTCGATGGCAGCTGTTGGCTTCACTTCACCAATGATATCTGTCGATTTCACCTCCCCGATGGCAGGTTTCGGCTTCACTTCCTCGGCCGCAGCTATTGGCTTTGCTTCCTCGACAGCGGCTGCCGGCTTTGCTTCCTCGGTCGCAGCTGCCGGCTCCGCCTCCTCTGCGGCAGCCGGCTCCTCCGCCACAGCGGGTGGGGGCGCGACCGGCTCCATATCCGCCGCAGGCGCCTCGGCCTCGCTCTCCTGCACCGGCGACGACCTCACAGCCAGCGGCGGGGCCTCCTCTGCCGGCCGGACGGGCTCGGCGCGCGCCGGCGGCTCCTGCTGGACGGCGGCGGGCGCTGGAGACGGCTCCTTGCCGGCTGGCCGCGCCTCCTCAGCGCGTGCGGCCGGCGGCCGGCCGTTGCCGTTTTCCCGGGCCGCGCCCCGAGGCTCCAGCTGGCGACTGGCGGCGGCCGGCGAGGCTGCAACACGCGCGCACGGTCAGCACGGCCGCACGGGGACGTGCGCGGCAACCCTGCCCCTGCACACTGAAGCTGCCGCACGCACGCTGCTTACGTGAACTACGTGACGATATTTCACGCTATACCTCAGTGCCGAACACTGATTTCTCACAGGGCCCCGAGACCTGCATCTTCGCGGTACGCAATCAGCTCCTGCCTCAATGCAACACCACACTTAACGACGCGTCCGAGAACCCCCACCTTCTCCGCCCAACGCTCGCATGCACCAAACGGCAGCGCCTCCGATCGCCCCAGCCGTCCCCACCGCGCCGCCTGCCGCCTACCGTTCCTAATGACGGCGCGTCTGATGACGTCGGGCGAGTGGGCGACGCGTCCGTTGGCCGCCTGGTAGCGCAGCGCGCCGCCCCACTCGGGCGCGCCCGGCGGCGGCGGCTCTGCCGGCGCGTCGGCGTACAGCTGCCGCCTCGGTGAGGCTGGCGCTGGAGCGCGGCCGGCCGGCGCGCGGCCCGTCACCGGCGTCGGCCAGCTCCGACACGCTGACACTGCTGTGCGGCCGGTAGCCGCGCGGCCCCACCACGCCGTTGCCGAGAGCGGCCGGCCGTTGCCAGGGTCCGTCGCCGGTGGGCGCGCCCGGCCGCCACGCCGGCGGCTCAGCCGGCGCCGCGTGACCCTGCGGGAGGGGGGTGGAGCGTCACGGGCTGGTATGACGGGGCGGGTGGCGGCGGCGGGAAGGGGCGACTCCCCGGGAGGAAACAGATGGCGTCGCTGCTGCAAGCTGACCATAGCTTCTGCGGTCCGTATACCTCATAAACCACACACTTCCACATCCCGCTGTCGTTACCAATACACATCAGACCCACCTGTCATACACAAACTTCTAAAACCAAAGCATTTTTAAAGCACTCAAAAAATGATTGCTCTTTCCAATGAGTGCCTGGGATGACCAAAACAAATGACGCCTCTTCCTGGCGCACACCGTAGTCCATAGCATCCCACTCGTTTCCTTACCAACAAACTCAAACCTCTCTCTTGCCAGTGCGCCCCCGCCCCCCCCCCCCCCCCCCTCTGACGCCACCCGGACTCAGCCGCCGCTCGCCAGATGCATATCCCGGGAATCCGCCGCTCTCCGGCTGCCGTGGTCCGGCTCGGCCCCGCATCTGTTCCCCCCTCCGGCGGCGGCGGCGGCGGCGGCGGCGGGACACGTACCTGGCCCGGCGGCGGCGTGCCGCGGGCCGACACCTCCAGGCCTGTGCTCGGGTTGATGATCGGGATGCGGTGGCTCGTCAACGCGTGCTGCGCGTGCTGGGCGACTGCGGGCGGCGGCGCCGACGGCGGCTGGGGCGGCGCCGGCGCCGGCGGCGGCACCACGGCCGGCAACATCTGCCGCTGGTCGAACTGCTGCAGCTGCTCGAACGACGACAGCTGCTGGTCAAACTGCTGCAGGTGGCGCGGCTCCAGCGGCTGCTGCTGATGCTGCTGTTGCTGCTGCTGTTGTTGCTGCTGCTGCTGTTGTTGCTGTTGCTGCTGCTGCTGCTGCAGCCCTATGGCCGACCACATCTGTTGTGGCTGCTGCTGCTGCGAGTAAATGCCTGCAGACAGAGGGAGGCAATGCGAGTGAAGACTTCACACACACACAGCGCGAACAGCCGGCCGCGGGGCGGGGCCTCAGCGGAGCGGACACCAACGCGCTGAGCAGACACCTCGGACCCCCCGACGCCGGAGCGACGCTGGGGTCGCACACACTTCCGAAGATCGGAGGCCGACCCACTCGTACACGCAGCACTCTGTAGGGTCCTGACGATTTCGGGCGCACAGACTACGAGAGCGATACCCGCTGCCCGGCCCAGAGGGGCGCCAGGCCCATATTGGTGCCCGTCCCGCGGGCGAAAGCCGTCCACCAGTGACCCGACGGCGGTTCACCGGCCGGCGGCCTCCCCAGTCCTGCTCACCCTGCTGCGGCTGCGGCTGCGGCAGCGGCGCGTACTGCTGCTGGTACATGCTCGGCGTCATGTACTGTTGCGGCACGACCGCGTGACTCTGGCGACAGAGCAGACACGCGGTCACCGGCGGGGCCCACACGGTGGGGGATGGTCAAGGGCGGCGGTCAGCGGTCACCGGCGGGGCCCACACGGTGGGGGATGGTCAAGGGCGGCGGTCAGCGGTCACCGGCGGGGCCCACACGGTGGGGGACGGTCAAGAGCGGCGGTCAGCGGTCACCGGCGGGGCCCACACGGTGGGGGACGGTCGCGGTCACCGGCGGGGCCCACACGGTGGGGGACGGTCAAGAGCGGCGGTCAGCGGTCACCGGCGGGGCCCACACGGTGGGGGACGGTCAAGAGCGGCGGTCAGCGGTCACTCGGCCCTAGCCGGGTGACCGCTGGTACACCGCGCCGCACCACTCGACTTCAACCCCCCCCCCCCCCCCCCCAGGTGTACAACGCAAGAGCCCGACGGATGCATCGGTGGCTTCCCAACCGACGACTACGGGATACTGCGAGGTACACAGTGAGCAGGACAGACGGCTCCGGTGTCGATGCACCCCGTGAGCCAGCAGGCGGCAGCGGCGGCGGCGGTCTCGGGCCCACCTACCGTTCCACCAGGCGGCATGCCTTGGATGAACATCATCACGCTGCCCTGAGGACGGAAGAGGGGCGGTTTAGGAAGGGCGGAGGGGGGGGGGGGGAAGGGACGCCGAGCGCCGGGAGCTGCGGCCGATAGCGGCAATGTTCTATTCATGGCCGGCGGGCAACAAGATAATGATGCAACAGATAAGATAGCCGATGATGTAACGGACGCTCCCAGCGCGGCCCAGCAATACAGTCCATCCCGTCTCCGCCGCACAGTCCCAGTAACTCCGGCTCCATCAGTCAGGCTCAGGCCGACGTGTGCCGTCCGTCGTGAGCACTGACACAGCCGACTATCACCAGCCGCGGCTGCGGCGAACAGCGCCGCGCACAACGCCTGGCTCGAGGCCTTCGCCGCCAAACCGCTCTCACACAGCGGCCACCTGCTCACCTGGCCGCCGTGCGGACCGCCGGGCAGGCCGAACGGCGCCACCGGCGGCGGCATGCCCATGCCGGGCATGGGCGGTCCGTGGCCGGCGTAGCCGCCGGGCCCGGGCGGCCGCGGCCCCACCATCTGCGGCCCGGCGCCGCGCGGCGGCCCGTACCCCACCGGCGCGCGCAGCATCGGCCCCGGCTGCTGGTGCTGGTGCTGGTGCTGGTGCTGGTGCTGGTGCTGGTGCTGCTGATGTTGATGCTGGCCGGCGTACACGGCGCCCGGCGTGCTGCCCAGCTCCACTGCCGGCACGGGACGGCGGTGAGGCACGGCGTCCGGACCGCGAGGACGCGGGTTCAAGCCCCAGTGCGGGCCGAGTCGGGCCCGACGCCGCAGCCGGCGCGCCGTCGGCGGCATTAAAAACCGCGGCGGCTGCCCACGACGTCAAGCAGCAGAATGATCGATTACAGGAGCACGCAACGACACAGTGGCGGTCCGATCGCCAGCAGAACCACGGCGAGGCAGCTCAGCCGAACAGATCGTCAGCACCTGCCGCCGAGGTGACACACGCAACCGGCGGAGCTGACTCATCCCACAGCAGGCCCGGTCGTCTGACTGCATACAGTCAGCATAGCAGCTGAAGACAAAGCCAGCAGCTTCGCAGCCCGGACAGATGTTGAACTAGCGCCAGGGCGCGCGCGCTCCGTCGCACGGCCAGCGCCACAGAGCTCCGCGTCGCACTCTCAGCGCGGCGCCCCACTGCGCCGTCACCACCCGGTCCAGACTCGCGACCACGGGGGCGGCTCGCCAGGGAGCGTCTCTCTGGCGAACGCACAGCGCGCCGACCGATCGGGGGTGGGGTGGGGGGGTCAGGCCCACTCACGGCCGGGCTTGGCCATGTCGTGCACGGTGGCCGGGTAGTGCGCGTGCTGCAGCAGCGTCTGGTGGAAACCGGGCTGCGGCGGGACGTCCGGACCTGGCGGCGGAGGACGCGGCGGGTCAGGCCGCCGCCAGCGCCGACGGGCGCGCCCGTCAGCCGACGGCCAGGCGGCGCACGCATTGCGGCGGCAGTTACGTGACGGAGCGCGCAGCGTGTCACGTGACGGCAGCGCGACAGTACGGAAAGCTCAGGCGGGGGTTGACTTCTGACGTGCCTGGTGCGTGTCACTCAGCAGCGAGGCCACGAAAGGACATGGGGAGGACATTAAACATCATTCCCACGCCAGAACTAGGGCAGCGCCGGCGGATGACCTCACCGGATGACGCGGCTTCCGATGACCGCTCGTCGCACCAGGCGATGTCAGCGTCACGTAACCCTCCACGCGGACCGCCCCTGTCCGATGCCCCGCAGCAGCCACCTCCACACATCAGTGCTTACAGGTGGGATAGGACGGCCCGTATCTGCTGGGACTCGTCACGTCGGGTTGACATGGACCCAGCTCCATCGAGTACACCACAGTCGGATCCCGTTACACCGACGGAGGTCGCAGCACGCTATCCGGCGACGAGCCGGGCCGGGCCGGGCCGGGCCAGCCGGGGCGCGCCGGGCAGGGCACAACGCCCCTCAGCCGGGCCCGACAGCGCGACGACTGACCTGGTGGCGGCCCATAGCCGAGCGTGGGCGGCGCGTTGTAGCGGCCGGCTGTGGTCAGGGGCGGGGCCGCGGCCATCCGCGCCATCCCGGGGCCGCACTCCAGCTTATCTGCCGGCGGACAGGCGCGGCCGCGTTACAACCGCCGGAGCCGGGGCCCTGTACGGCACTCCGGTCGGCACTGAGGTGCACGGCCGTCAGAGACGTGGCACACAACCAGCAGCAGAAATCGGCGCGATGCAAAATAATGGACCAGCGGGCAGATGCAGGGACTAGGTGGTGCTTGGCTGCACGCTTGTAGCGTTTAACGACTTGTTGCGGAAAGTCGACTCTTAAGTCAATACCGCAGGCATCGTGTGGACAAACAAGCCCCTGCTGGTGGAGCTGCTTCCCAACGATTTTGGGCTCGGAGGGGGGGGGGGGCCCTCGTAAAAGTTGGATATATTACACTGCAGGGTAACCCTGCAGCTTTTGCATATCCAGGCTGTTAGATAACAAATGCATTTTCATCTTTAATTCCCGGTGCTGCTCACTTGAAGCTGACTGAACTGTTCGCTGGCAACGCATATAGGGGAGACAAAGCGGCCGTTCCTAAAAAACAACAATGCTCCTCCCTACCCGTACTCAAAATGTGGTGCTGCAGATGTGACAACAATGAGCTTCCCAGCAAAGGATCCAGTGAATGCACATTCCACGTAGGAGGCACCGCTGAGAGTCAACATCCTCCGATGTGGGCGGAAGTCATCACCGCTTATCGGTAACATCGCAGTCAACACCAACATGCCTCGCCCCGACCCCCAAATAAACGGAGCCGCGTCACCCACGCCCCCCTCCCCCCTTCCCGCCCCCCGATCTCTGGCTCGCGACGCGACACGGAACAGGCGGCCGTGACCGCGAGCGCCGCCGTAAACAGGCTCTCACAGCGGCGCGGCTGCCTCAAGTGCGCAGCGCGGAACAGGGGCTTGGAGCGGCGCCACCGAGGCCGGCGACCCCGCCTGCACGGGCATGGCACGGCACGGGGGCCGCTGACGGCGCCTCGCTCTCGTCCGCCCACCACCGCCGCGTCCACAGCCGGGCGGGCACAACACGCCCATTTGCTGAATGCGAGCGTGCCGAGTACTTTCCCGCGCTATGCCTTCTGCGCACGGGAAACAATCCGCCGCGCGTAGTGCAACGGGCGCCGAGCCCCGATCACCAGGCCGCGTGACCTCACCAACGGCCGGCGCGTGCCACCGGCGCGGCGTCACCGGTGACTCATCCGACGCCGGCGGCGCGGCGCGGTGAGGCGGCGGGACCTCCCCGCCGCCGGCCAGGCCAGGCCGGCCGGGGCGCGGCGGGGACCGCGGTGCGTCCGAACGGGCGGCGACGGACTCCGATCGCCGGAACCACGGCGTCCCGGCAGCGCGGGGCGCGACATTCGGGAACCTTTGAGGGGCACTCGAGGCCCGTGACGACGCGTGTCAAGCATCAAATCGAAGCGCCCCGGTCGCCATGAGCCACGAGCTCCCAGAACCCCACCGGGATCGCGCACGTTCGCCGGCCGACGCCAGGCGTGGGCCCGGTGTAAAGGGCTTGCCGCGCCAGGTCATCGTTGGCCGCCCGACGGTAAACAGCCGGCGCCAAGGTCTGCTCACGGAGGGGAGAGGGGGGAGGGGGGCTCTGAACCGGCGCCGCCGCGGGCATGCGGCTGTCGGCTGCTTCCGGTCGACGTAGACAGAGGAGCGAGGGCCGGCAGCGTACGAGGGTCGCTCGCCAACAGGTGTGAACGGGTACGCCGGTTTGGGAGCGCGGCGGTGGCCGGAGCAAGGCCGGGGAGGCATCCGCCCAGTGACACCCATGCTAGGAGATGCTGGCAAACGGCTGAGCCACACGAGCTTTCATGAGAAAACCGGCCATTTCGACTACAATCGCTGAGCACCACGAGGAGTTCACCGTATCCCTCTGCTGCGCCAGAGTAAATTCCGCCCAGCGCATGACGAAACACCGATTCCGACTGCGAGAGACAGTTAAGTATTCCGGGATCCCGCTTGAGACTTCCGGACGTACCCGCCGCCGCCGCCGCTCGATGCACGACGCGACGGTCAGCCGCGCGTCCGCCGGTAGTACCCCCAGCTGCGGCTTACACCACGTCACTAGAGTTAATCGCCGGACGCGGCAGACGTCACCTGAAGAGCCCGCCGCCAAGTCAGACCTGTGCCTGTACCTGTGCCTGTACCTGTACCTGTACCTGTGCCTGTGCCTGTACCTGTACCTGTACTGGCAGTCAACGGCCGCGGGCCGGGCCGGCCACCACACCGCCGGCGGCGCTCCGGGAACGACGCCACACGGCACACGTGCCGCCGCTTAGACATCACTGGCGACCTCAGGCCAACCAACGGCGCTGCGAATGACACCCGTAGCCGTGCAAGCCAACGGGAGCCTGCCAGACGCCACGCCTACAAACACACTTCAGTTCGCCCAGAGTGTCCACGCAACGGAGCTGCTACCCTCGACGCGTTCCCAGTGGCGGTCACTGGCGCAGCAGCCTACAAAGCAGGCCAGCGTCGGGACGACACCGAGCGGGCAGTGCACGCAGTGCGCCGCTTAACAGACCAGATATGCTGGCTCTGGGCACAGGGCTCGCCAATGCGCTCCGCCCATGGTCGTACTGGAGTCGGCTCACAATGGAAATGTCACCCGGTGAGATACGCGTGCGACGCCGCGGCCGGTCGGAGCCGGAGCCCTTGCGACTGCCGGTAGGCGCATGTCAGGGGCGCGGCGGCAGATTTGCAGGCAGTCCGCCCCGTGAGCCGCGGGTGCCTGCCGTTGCACGTGGCCTGTGACGTCACAAAGGACGGACGGACGGCCGGCCGGAGGGAGAACGGGGCGGGGTCGGGGTGCGTCGCTGGCGCCGCAAAAGCGCAGGCCAGCCTTGCATTTATGACGGCGTTTCCCGTATCACATTTTGTTCGTTACAAGTAGCATATCGATAACAACAGTGCGTCAAACATCAGTGATGGAAAACTTCGTCGAATTCACTCCCACCTGAAAACGCCACCTGAGCGCCTTTTTCCGCAGTTTCACAGGAAGCATGCTTCTGTCAATACGGCGAAAACCGGACGGCGCTGGACCCCCGCCGGCGCAGCAGCCCTGACCAAAACACGGCGACAGGCGCGGGCGTCGCCCGTGCGTGCGTGCGCAGCCCGCCGCCCCTGCCAAGGCCACGGGGCAATGACCCCGTCAGCTGGCCGTGCCAGCTGACGAGTCGGCTCCAAACAGAGGCGCCACGAACAGCCGCACCACCGCAAAAAGGCACCGACGGCTCCGGCAACACCGGCGCTCCCGGCGTCCCGTCGCCAGCCCGGTGACGTCGGATCGGGGCCACGAGCGAGGAGCGGCGCTGCACGCCGAGCGTCCCTCCAGCTGGTGCACGAAGCCGGCACATGCGTTATCACGCAGATGAGTCACGCGATAGTACACTTGTGCTCCCGGGCGCAGCTGAGGTGAGGGAGTCTTCGTCTAACGGGCGGCACCGCCGACGAGACCGCGGGTTCGCGACAGGCCGCAATGCAATCGAATACGGTTGGCGGAGTAAGTAGGTCACTGTGCTACCCCCTCCCCGCGGCCACGCCCCCTCCGTTCCGGCGGAAGCGCGCGGTCCGTGCCGCCGGCCAGCCTCCCGGCGACGGTGGTGGGCCCGCGCCGGCCGGACCGCCATCGCAACAGACGCCGCACGGTTCCCACAGACGCCGCACCGTTTCCACAGACGCCGCACCGTTCCAGCATGGGAGCTGAGGCCAGAGCGGAGGGGTCCCCCTCCCCCCCCCCCTCCTCCTCCCCCCGGGCGATTTGGTAAAAGCACGGTAGAATGACACTGGCACTTAGCCACGCCCTACGCCACAAAGCCGAGTTCCCGATTTTTGACCGCATCAGTGACAATCCCAGGTGGCCTTAGCGAGTACACGCTCGTGCCTCACACACAACCCATCCGCAACGCTGAGCCGCTGATAGTATGATTACATTGCAATGCTAACATTGCAATCAAGATTCAAGGCTCAAGGGCTCAGCGTTCGGCTCACCACTGCGATACGTCATGCGACAGCCCGCTTCCGCCAGACTGTGCGGTCGCACGGGCGTGCTTTCGCAAAACGCGTTGGGACCAGTGAAACCGCACCAAAACGACCAAAACGCGCTAACCAAAACGCGTTGCTAACCAGTGGAGAACCTATCCCCCCAAAAAGTATAAAAACAGGGTGTTTGCTGGATTTGGCCAGCTCTGTCATACATATATTCTCCAAGGTGGAGGGGAGGGAGCTGGAGGCTCCTCCCTGCGCAAACTGAAAAGGAAACCGCACCTCTAAGCGGGCATGCATTGCTGCAGCATGCCACCATGCTCGCATGACGACAGCGCGTTTGCCAGATGGCCGAGCCGCCGCCAGCGGTTCCCATGGCGACCGACTCTCGATCCCCGGTTCTGCTTGGGTCCGCCTGATCGGTTACTGCCGGCCGCCTCTAGGCTAGACCTCGGCCGCCGTCGTGGCAAGACATGTGTAGAAACCCTTTTCTCTGCCAGTGTCCCAGGCGAGATCACCACGCGATGGCGCAGGGAGAAACCAGGGCTGGAAATTTTCGCATGCACCACATGCAGTTACTTGGACAATCACAATTTCAGGTACTGTTCAAATTATTACATAATAGAGTACCAACCAAAACAGTCACCATTTAACAGCTGGTTTTCAGGTTACAATAGTTTTAAAAGACACAGTATTGTACAGCAAATTTACACTTCCAACATAACAAGCACACCACACAGATCACAAGCCTGGTGGATGATGTGACCCTGGAAATGCTCCACATTCAGCTCACAGCATAGAAGCAGCTGCAGGATGTCTGAGGGTTGTGCAACTGACTTTTGTGGAAGAAGAATTGTATTCCCTGATGAGAATGGTAAAATGAGCATATGTTTCATCTTTCCTACTCAAGCATGACTGGGACAGGCTGTCCTCCTGAAATCTCAACATGTTCCCTTGCAATACCTAGGCCATGGCTTAAA